AGTGAATTATTCATGATTAAATGTGAATAATAAACCTATGCAAATATTGGTTGTATTTGCAGTTTGGAGGAGGCTGGGGGAGCGGCAGGAAGTGAAGTCACTTGAAAATGATTGAGCTAACTATCTTTTTTAGAAATAGATCAAGAAAATGCATTTTGATTGTTATTTATATACAATATACACCCTCCCTCCCCCCCAAAGAAAAACACATGGGCTGGATTCTCTTCGGGAGTCCATACCCTGTTGGCGAAACCCAGTTAAATCCTCTTAGTGCCGTGACCTTTATAACATTTCCTTAGAAACTAATTGTGAAAGTTGTGTGTGCGTTTAGTTTTCTGACTGCAGAGGGTTAAAAAGCTTACGGCAGGCTTTCTTCAATAGAATGGGAAACCTTAACTGACAAGTTTCCAAGTCCCGCCGCTTACTGTAAACGCTAACTCTGCATCTCGGTTATCGGCTTTTGATAAAGGGAACGTGACAATAATTCTGATACCGGCCAGCTCGAGGCTACTTATCTTTTCGGTTACCGAGTCGGTTTAACAGTTTCCACTGGAACTGCGAGGCGTGCGGCTCGCGCGGGGCCCGGTTCCACGCGGCTGGTCCCTTCTGAGAAACGCAGAATCCGAGCCAGAGCGAACGGCGAGAGGGGTGTCGTCATCGCGCAGCCTTGGCGACTTTTCAAAGCCGGCTTTGCACCGTGTGTCATCACCACGCTCTCTCGGAGGGGCTGCGGCATGCAAATGCCTCCTCTGTGCGTCCCGCCATCGGAAGTTTCATGAATGATGCTCATGGCACTTCCCCCGCGCCGCATCCTGAGGGCTGAGTTCATTCTGACCCGGGGCCCGCGGTTCAGTTAACCACGTGACAGCTCAGTGCAGGCTCAGGCGGTCTCACTTTGGCTCAGCAAGAAGCCAGTGTCTGGAGGAGGGGCCGGAGGACTGCCTCTCTCCCCTGGCTCCGAGGCTTCGGGTCTCTCCAGAGTCAGGTGACCAGACGTCCCACTTCTGGCAGGACAGTCCCGATTTTTAACGATCTGTCCCGCGTCCCACAGCGGGACTGTCCCGCCAGAAGCAGGACGTCTGATCACCTTCCTCCAGAAGCCCACGAAGGGCTGCCCTCCGGGGGAGCGCTCCGTTGTGATCCGGGCGGTGGCTGCCTTCTCACTGTTATGGTGGGAGCCCGTCCATGGGGGAGTCTCTGCACTCGCGCTGCCGGAATGAGTTCCTTCCCGCGGCCCCTCCCGAGGGAAGGCCCGTGAGCAGCCTCTCCGGAGGCCGAGCCAAACACACTCATCTTTGTTGAGAGATGTGACCAGGGGACTTCACCGCATGCCTTGTGGTTTCCGAATGACATGCACATTCTGGGACCCGGCTGTTCTCAGTAAGGCCTGACCACACCGGCTCTTGAACGCAGAGGGCGAGCGCCACATGTTACAGATTCTTAGAAGCAAGCAGGTGGCGGTGTGCGCCTGAAGGGAAGGGAATGGGACTGCCCGCTGACGAAGGCCTCTGGAGACGGGCTGCCCGGCACGCAAAGCCCCCGCCCCGGCCCCTGCCCCCTGGCTCCTGGACAAACCCATTTTAACAATCTACTGTGGATTTTTTTTCTCTCTCCCTTGATCTTGTCCAATAGTACTGAAGTCTTTCTGTTGGCGTTTGAATATTTTCCATATAGATAGATAGATTGATTGATTTCAGAGAGGAAGGGAGAGGAAGAGAGAGAGAAACATCAATGATGAGAATCATTGATTGGCCACCTCCTGCATGCCCCCCACTGGGGATGGAGCCCGCAATATGGGCATGTGCCCTTGACCGGAAATCAAATCGTCACCTCCTGCCTCATAGGTCAATGCTCAGTCTCTTCTTATATCACAGTCCCTAGGTGAGATTCATTAACAAGCTTCTGTTTAAAAAACGCTAGTGTGGGAGGGCAGCACAGTAAGCTCACCCTGATGCTCCTGTCCATCGGACTGTCCCGAGGGCCAGGGAGATTTGATGTGGGGACAGGAGTGGGGAGAAGCTCAGAGCAGAGGCAATGGGGAGCATGCTCCAGTGCTGGCTGAGCCAGGAGGGGGTGTTGACACAGGCAAAGGCGGCACAGGGATCCGGAGCTCCTGAGACTCAGGAAGGAGACTGGCCAAGTTTTAAAGAATAGCAATTATAATGAACAATTATGACGAGCATCTGTTGAGCATTGGCTGGATGTATGCTGAGCAGTTCCTGTGAATTGCCTCGCTTAATCCTCACAACGGGGTTGCTAGGCAGGCGTCGTTATTATCCACGTGTTACCGGCTGAGTAACATGAGGACTAGAGGATTTATAATTGTCTAGAAAATTGCGGTCAGGTCTTGAAGCCAGAAACCTAGGCTCTTTCTTGACTAGCTTGCTAAAAGGAAGGTGAAGATCTAACTGCCTGCTCACCTAGAGCTGATGAGTCATTAGCCAAATGGAACTTAGGTACCTCAGACTTCTCCCGCCTTCAGGAGTCAGAATATCCAACTAAAGACCCCCCCAAACGTCCACTTTTATTCCAGGTTTCTATCCCTACGAGTTTGAGTCCCCAAGGAAGGCTCCATGCCCTACCAGTCTGTCTGAACCAGCCTGCCTCTCCCCTCCTGCTCTGGGGAAACCCTGTACTGCTGAACCTCATGGCTAGGCCAAGACCAGACTGAGATGTTTAATTGGACTGAGCTCAGTCTACCCGCCCCCACCCCAACACACACAGTCAGTGAGCAGAATTTGTGAGGCCAACACATTCTACAAGAGTCGGTCTCAACAACGCTGACATTCCCAGAGGGCGCACCCTGATTTGTAAAAATGTGGCGCATCCCAGGGGAAGCCACGTGAGCGAATTAGTACCTCGAGTGTCCCCGTCTCTGGGTAGTGTCTTGGCTTTCCAATGCCTTACGGGAGGGAAGGGCCCATCGAGGCCCTCAACGGCGCCCCCATCTCTACCGAAACGGACAACGGCACAGCAAGCCTCAGCCAGGCCTCATGACGCAAACACAGAATCAGTCTTAAAAATAGAAGCGAATCATTTCTAACTTGGGACAAAGAGGGGCGTTTCCTGCTGGTGGAGAGTATGGACTCATACCCTGTGGAGGCCCTCGCCTTAACTCCCACAACCAGAGTGTGCTCAGCCTCCTTTTATCATCTTCCTCCTCTTCCTCCTCCTCCTCCACTAACCGAGGATGAGCTCTGCCATCAGAATCCGTGGGAACCTCTAAGAGCCAGGGCTGCTGGATTTGAAACCATAAATTAACTGAATACTTTAAAACAATGAAAACTGGCTCTAACAGTGAACGTTATTTTTTGAACACACATACACACGCGCGCGCACGCACGCACACATGCCGAACCACTTTGGCCCTGATCACATGCTCAGCTTCGTTTCCAGCCTCTTCCTGGCAGAGATGAGCGGGAGAGTGAGAGAGCCCAGCCGCCAGCGGGACCCGAGAGGAGAAATGAAGGTGCGGCTTCGGTGCCTGCCTTCAAAGAGCGAACCCATCTCTTTCCAGAGAGACCAACTTTCTGTAAAGACAGAAAAACCCCAGATTTCCCCTGCACAATGTTTCACCGATCAGCGCCCGTTTCTAGGCCGCCGTCACCTCATCTTGGCGATCACACCCAGGAGCCACGCACAGCCAGGGCGAGGGGATGTTAGTGTGGGACAGCTCGGGGTCCCCGGCTCGGGGTCCCAGATGCCACTCTTCTCACCAAAATTCCAGCTTCTTGATGAGTTTGCGTTTTACTCATTTCGTTCCTCTGCAGGGCAGAAATGAATAGGCGAGAGGAGAGGTGTTTATCCTTGTGGTAAATCGTTCAGTAAATAAAACTGAACGCCTTCCCATCTTGATAGGGGCTGCATACATTAGCTCTGCTATGTAAAATCAGCTGGCTCACATGTTCGCGGTTCTCAGGTCCCCTGATTACAGATCTCCTTCCCTGTGTTCCTGCCAAGGACAGAGCCCAGCAACTCCTCTCTGTTGCCTCACTCCCTGCAGGAGACGCACGCTTCCCACCGATGGGCATGGACAGCCTTCCTCGGAGAGGGGTGCTCACCGAGACACTAAAATCCCTCTACGCATTTTCTGGAGCGATTCAGATTCTAGACTTTGACTTAAAGGATCTGTCAGCCTTAGGCTACGCAGATGAAATGTGTAAACACAGCTAAATTCTCTTTTTAAGCAAAAGGGTTCCTCTGAGGCCCAGGCTGACTATTCCACAGGACGGCTTTACTTTAGAGTCAGAGGCTGCTGGAGTTTTCGTGAAGCTTCTCTGTGTTCAAACACTTGTGTGGAGGGACACTCACACCTCACAGGGCAGCAGCCCGTTTCAGGATCCTGACAACCTGGAAAAGCGCCTCCTCACACCGAGCCAAACGGGCCTCTGCAGCTTGCAGGAGTTCGGCCTCGGATCTGCCCTCCGGAGAGACACACAATAACCCTAATCCCTCTGGTAGACAGCTAATCTCTTCATACGACTCTCTCAGAGGCAATCGTGGTGACTCAGGCTGCAGTTCCATCCAGGATATAATAAACACAATACCTTTCCCCTCCTCTCCTCCCAGCGGCAAAGCCAGCTTACGTGAGGACACGGAACATGCGGGGAGAGAGAGAACGCTCCCCCGAAGCAGGCCCTGGTGTGAGCCCGGTCCCAGACCCCGGTCCCTGGAAGTCAGAGATGGATGAGCACTGGAGTGACGCTGGGCGCCCCCTCGGATCCTCCTCTTGGGAGAGCTCAGCCTTCTTCCGGAGAAAGCACACCTCTGGGCCCGATGCCCCGATTAGTCTGGCTCAGGGGCGGCAGGCTTCAATCTTTTGTGTCCCTTAGAATCAGGGGGTTTCCCATGGGGCCCCATCCTTGGAGACTTTGCTTCCGTAGAAGTGAAACGGGCCTTGTGAACTCTATTTTCAGAAGCACTCCAGAGCTGGTGTTCTTTCTGCGCTTGGAGAAACATCGATCGAAGCAAAGAAGAAAAGCCAAGCAAGAAAGCAATACCTTGCCTTTTTATTTTTTAATTTTTTTTATTTAACCAGAAAATTTAACCAATGCATTTATTTAAATGTATTTAACCTATACATTTCAGTTATTGGTTCTATCCATTTAAACTAAATCCCATGTTAGAGAATAACAAAAAGAACACTTGAAGTCATTTATAGTTCATTCTATCAAAATTCTTCCAGAAAAAGGGAACTAGCAACCTCATCTGCAGGTTACAGACTGAGGGCTGCTGGGAGGTAAACTGAGGGCTGCTGGGAGGCATTCACCACAGGCCTTACGAGGGAGCCAAGCTCCGGCCCCGCAGCCTCTTCCCCGGCCTCAGGCTGGCCCACAGATCGGGCCCAGGGCCAGATGGGAAGAACCTGATCGTCCAACACTTAGCTGTTCCACCTCGTGACTGAATTAACACAGAAATCACTCCTGGGCAAGCACTCCGCACACATCTGTGCCATTCGGTGGGAATTCTAATAAAGCTAGAGGGATTCCAGGGCACAGGTTACAACAAGTTGGAACATTTCACAGTCTGAGTACCAGGGAGTCTGATTATGCAAAGAAAACCCTCTCTCCTTTCGGAACAACGGCCTGCTTCTCCTCCCGGAGCCGCGCTGGCCCCTTTGTAAACAGGAAGGGCGTCCCATCGCTAAATCCCTGGAAACAAGGCTAGCCCAGGGCAGCCCGGACCGCGCTTCCCTGCGGCCAAGTGAACACACATACCTAATAATTTATCAACTACGGAAGCTGAAGAACAAATTAGGAAAAGGGTGATGATAGGAACTCACTCTCCTACTAGGACTCTTCATGTAGTTTGTCCCAAAACAAAGTTCTTTGGGGATAAGCGTAGCAGAGGCTTCTCATCTCGTTTCCTCTCCAAGGACGATGCGTCTCAGCGGCTCGCTGACCTTCCTCCTCTTCCTGGCGCTCTCCGAACTTTGCTGACTGAGCTCAATGCTCCTTCTCGGGACCTGTGAGAACCGCCAGAGAGAGGCACATTCAGCAAAGGACCTGCCATCTGCACAAGGACACACCAGGCAGGCAGACCGAGCGCTAATCTGAGCGCTGCATAGCGGATCCAAACCTGCCTTCCCGTGGGCCAGTTTGGCCCTGTCCGGAGGCCCCGCTGCCAGCAGCATCTGCGGCTCCCAGTCTCAGCAGCCGCGGGCCTGGAGGCAGCCGTTCAGGGACAGCTGCTTGGCTCTCTGTAGTGGATGCGGCACATCCACCTCTTGAGGGGAGAGTTGTTAGGGTGTGAGGCCAGCAAGGAGCAGGGAAGGGTCAGGCAGATGGAGGGCACTGATCGCTTTAGAGGCGATAGCATCTCAGTCCCATTGAGGTGGCAGAAACATACAGTGTGTCTCTCCTCTCAGGCTTCAGACTAAGGACCTGGGAAGGACCACGGGCCTTCCTTCTTGAAGAGAAGAGTCACTGATTAAAGGGAAGTTGATTAGTGAGTCATCATAGATATACAGTTCTCTCTTGGGCTCAGCCTTGGTCAAGATTTTAGGACTTATTTTTGCTTAACGGAATGAACAACTAGATGTATTATAACCTGTCAGACCATCTCCAATGCCTGGATTTTTTATATTTTCTAGCCACTAGATGGGAGGAAAGGTTTTTCCATGTCCTCTGTTCTTTCTTTGGTAGGAAAATAGAATAAGTATTTTGTTGTTGTTAATCCTCATTGGAGAATATTTTTATCCATTTATTTTAGAGAGAGTGGAAGGGAGAGGGGAGAGAGTAAGAGGAGAGAAACATCATGTAAGAGATCCACATCAATTGGTTGCCAAATAGGGCGTGGAACCTGCAGCCCAGGTACGTGCCCTTGACTGGAATCAGACCCATGACCCTTTGGTTAGTGGGGCCAATACACTAACCACTTAGCAACACCGGCCAAGGCAAGATAAATATTTTTAAGTAAGACTTGTCAGAATATCTACGAGAGGTTCCAACATCATCCTTTTTTCTTTTGTTATAAATATAGGTTATTAGTATTGCTATATTATTACTACAAAATAGTGGGGATGGCAATAAAACATTTAAGTACCATTTAGAACCAAAGGTTGGGTCTACAAATGGTTAACATAATCACTAACTTTTCTTTTAGCTTTAGAAAGCAGTTGAAATTCTGATCTCAGAAACCACAAATTCCCTTTGGCTTAAACTAAGACATTGACAATAGAACTAAGAAAATAAATAGAGCTGCTCACCAAATACATGTTTTGCTTAGATATGTAAAAAGTGAAACCGGTCTGCTCTAAAGGGAGGGAAATAGCAACATAAAAACCCAAAACCCAACTTCTTTGTCACAGCGCGGCTGTCAGAAAAGGTCTGTGCTTTTCACTCCAGTGGCCTGACCCTCATTTCTATCGAGTCTGGGGACACTGAGGAGAAGAGAAAAGGGACATGCAAACCCTTAAATGACAAGCAGGCCTGGTGGTTTAATGGTTTTGTTCTCTTCTTCTTTGCTCAAAAGTAAGCCAGCGTTGTATTATGAGTTTCAGAACTAGAATTTCATTGCGGTGAGTTAACGGCAATATTTTAAATAATGTATCCGATCTCAAGGAGACCAGTGAGGCCTGGGAACTTTCAATCATTGGCAGAAAACCAGTGGGTTCAAAAGTGAGTATGTGATCCATCACGGACTCTTCCTAACACAGATGAACAATCTGCATGAACTACATAAACCACAGATTTGTCCATACAACATTTTCCAAGTGTGTTCCAACCGACTGAGTGTGCACATTGGATGCCAAAGCCAGCAGGCAAGCTGAGGGCCAGCGATCAGGCAGGCTAGACAGACTATCTGGGGGATTTAACATCGGTGATCATCCAATGATTTATAATGCATGTCATATGATACTTTAAACAGATAGCTTTCCAAGTGTTCCTTGTATACAGACTAACCAGAGGCCTCTATGGCCCACTTACCAATGGAGCCTCAGAAGTGGAGTAGCTACACTTATTTCTGAAAAAAGCCCTAAAAATATGCTTTCTGGTGTAGGATACTTCCCTGCTAATATAGTCTCCATTTGGGAAGCCAAAGAGCAGGATTTGCCTTAAGCACAGCTGGCTGGTTCGCTGGCTTGGTAGCAGTCTTTGAAAAGCACTGGAAAGCTGTCTTTTCTTTTAAATGAGCCCATTTATTTCTTTATTCGCTTGCTTTAAAAACTGGTTTGAATATTTATTACTGTTTATCCTGGAGGTTAATGAGACCATATTAGTCATCTTTTTATTCCCAGGTTCCTGGCATCTGGTAGGTGCTCTTAAATTATTGGCTGAATTAATTAATGCATTTTGAAATTGATTGGAAGCCAGGCATTGTGCTGGGCACTGGTATCATATCACTAGTGATATAAAGATGAATAAGACACAGTCGTTATCAAGAACTGACTCTTATAAGGAAGAAGCATAAAGCACATGATCGCAGTCCAATGCAGTACAATATAATTCAATGGCCATAACAGACATTCATTCATCCAGCAATTATTTAGTGAGTGCCAGTGCTGTGCATGGCACTGTTTTAGGTGGTTGGGGCACATCAGTGGCAAAAGAGATAAGCGTCCCTGCCCTGTTGGTTTTACAATCTGTCCATTTTGGGCTTGATAATTTCCAATGGCCTCTCACTGCTTGTAGGATAAAATCCAGAGTCAGTACCTGTGCTTTCACACTGTCAGACTCTACACGTCTAGAGAAGAAGAGGGTCGCAGATTGCCTGTAAGACCCTGAGGATGCCCTATCGGGTTTGGCTCAGTGGATAGAGGATCAGCCTTCAGGCTGAAGGATCCCAGAATCTATTCCGGTCAAGGGCTCGATCCCCAGTAGGGGGTGTGCAGGAGGCAGCCAATCAATAATTCATTGATGTTCTGTATCTCTCCCCCTCTCCCTTCTTCTCTGAAATCAATAACAATATATTGGGGGTATGTGGGGGGCGGGTAGAGAAAAGAAAAGACACTGATGAAAGCTATGCATTCTCTCCTCAGAAAAATGCTGAGAGAGAGAGAGAGAGAGAAACAGAGAAAGAGGGGAATGAAGGAAGGAATTGTTATACATTTCACGGTAGCAGGCCATTTGAGGGGCTCCAAGATGCCCTGAATCCCCCCAATTAGAGTCATTACCCCCGTCCCCGCAGAGCCTGGCTGTGGCCAGCAGTCCCAGGCTCAGCTCTTGTACCTGCCCCTCGCCCTCTGACCTCTCAGTGTCTCACGTCTTGCTCCTTCCTGATTTCAGATTTCTGCACATGATGTTCTTTCTGCCTCAAATGCTCTTTTCCTGCCACCTGCCCGCTCTTTGCCTAATTCACTCCTTAGTCATTCTTCAGATTGCAGATGAAAAATTACTTCCTCAAAGAAATTTTTCCTAACCCCATGCTCTCTTTTTTTAATCCTCACCGAGGATATGTTTCATTGATTTTTAAATATATATATTTTATTTATTTTTTACAGAGAGGAAGGGAGAGAGAGAGCTAGAAATGTCAATGGGAGAGAAACATCAACCAGCTGCCCTCTTGCACACCCTCTTCCGGGGATGTGCCCACAACCAATGTACATGCCCTTGACCGGAATTGAACCTGGGACCTTTCAGTCCGCAGACCGATGCTCTACTGCTGAGCCAAACTGGTTCCGGCTGTTTCATTGATTTTTAAAGAGAGGAAAAGAGAAGGAAGATGCCCAGTTGTCCCCTGTACATGCTCCAACAGGGGATCAAACCCACAACTGAGATATGTGCCCTGATCAGGAATCAAATCTACAACCTTTCCGTGTACGGGATGACACTCCAACCCACTGACCACACCAGCCTAGGCCCGATCATATGCACATAGTAGGGGCTCAATATATATTTTTCAATGAGTGAATGACTGTTCCAAGAGCACCTGCCAGCAGCGCAGAAAGGTATTGGAGGCATCAAGCGGATGCAGTGATGAGTCACGCCAGTGTAGCAGTCAGGTGGTAACTCGGGTGGCAGTGCAAAGTCAGCAGTGAGAAGTATTTAGAAGGTAGGCTCAGAAGACTGGCCAATTGCATATGATGGTGAAGGAAAGGCAGGTATGTCAAGAATGACTCCAGTTTCTGGTTGAGCTAACTTCACAGATGGGGGTTCTGTTCCCTCGGGTAGAAAACCATGGGCGCTCTGAACCTATTGGGTTTGGAATACCGTGAAGCCCAGTGGCCTGAGAAGAGGCAGCTGCGTGTGGAAGTGAGTGCTCGGGAGAGAGGTCGGGGCTGGAGATGTCAATCTGAGCGTCATCAGCTCATTAATGCCATGGGTGTGGAGAACTCACTTATTGAGAGATGAGAGCGTGAGAAGGGAAAGGGGCCAGGACATAGCCCAAGGAGCGCCAACAGAGAGATTAGGTGGAAGACGAGCCAACAAACAAAGATAAATGGCCAGCAGGTTGTCACACAGGAAAGCCAAGGGAAGAGAGATTGTGGGCTCGATCCCCAGTGCGGGATGTGCAGGAGGCAGCCAATCAAGGATTCCCTCTCCTCACTGATGTTTCTCTCTCGCACTCCCTCTCCCTTCCTCTCTGAAATCAATAAAAATATATTTTTTAAAATATATTTTTTAAAAATTTGCTCTTCGTTTTACAAACATTTGAATGCTTATCACAGTGTAAAGGCAGGAATGGGTTTTTTTTCCTTTTACAGATGTGGAAACTTGAACCCACACCTCCCGATTTCAAATTCAGTGCTCCTCATAACTTACCTCTTCAACCAGATGGGAAAACAGAGGTAGGAAACTGTAAGTGAGGCCATCAGAACTCTATGTAGGGTTCACAGGTTTCTATCTAGGGTTGACCTTTTTTGGACATAATCTACTGGGACCTCACACTAAACACAGCCAAAGCCAAATTCTTTTTTCCCCCTTTGTGACCAGTTTTTCCTTTGACTTTTCAATACGTGTTAATCACCATTTCCCAGTCATGAAAGGTCAAAGGCATAGTCACTGTAGATTCCTCCATCAGCCCCTAATGCCTACTCAGAGTTCTTAAATGAGTAAATGGAATAGGGCAGACAGAGCACCTGGTACAACATCACACATGCACAAGTCATTCAGGGACTGATGACTGATCATTCCCACCCTCAGGTTTCCCAGATTCCAGCCAGACTGGATGCTGTGGTCAGCTGGAACATGGACACCGTTTTTCAATGTGAGCACCAAGACAGAGACTGGTGGTGCGGCTACAAGCCAAGGGATGCGAGCGGCCACCTAGAGCTGGAAGAGGCAAAGAACCCGTGGCGCCTCCAGAGGGAGTATGGCTCTGTCTGCATCTTAACTGCAGCCCAGGGACATTGACTGTGGACTTCCGGTAAGAGATTAATTTCTAATGTTTAAGCCACCAAACATGTAGTGATCTGTTACAGAAGCCCTAGGAAACTGATATAGTCACATTTCCCAAACATACCTCCTTCCTTTCCTCCTCCTTTATTCTTCCACATTTCAGAAAACAAAAATCTCCTATTACTTACTCATTTTAAATTTTGAGTAATTCCTTTAAGGTCAATCTCTATTTTTATCCCCACAGCACATTTTTGTAATTGTGTTTTTCTGGCAGCATAAATATTTTTTAAGCAATTTGTCCTTTACCTGGGACTGGGTTTTAAATTCTTTAGGAATTCCTTTGTATTTAATATTATGATCTTTAGCCTCTCTCCAATGCCGTATGCAGTGTCTTCCACACAGCAGGTATCAATAATTATTTTACTACCTATTGTAATCACCTACAAAAGTGTTCAATTGCTAAGTTATTAATATATCCTAAAGTTGCACTATTATGGTAGCCATTAGCTATATGCGACCATTTAAATTTAAATTTAAATTTAAATTAATCAAAATTAAATACAATTTAAAATTCAGTTCCTCAGCTGCATTAATCACATTTCAAGTGTTCAACAGCACATGCGAATGTTCAACTCAAGTGTTCACTAGCACATGTTACACATCACAGATATGGAGCACTTTCATCATCACAGGCAGTTCAACTGGACAGAACTGCTTTACAGAGGCAATCTGCTTATACTCCAAGTAAACATGAAGTTTCCTAGGGACCACAGTGATAATAGAAATAAACTAGAAATACTTTTTTTCCCCAAAATGCAAAGACTTATTATTATAAAAATGTCAATTTTCCTAAGATTGTTTTATCAAGTCAATCCAATACAAATAAAAATATACTAATATGTCTGTTGAAACTTTAAAGCTGATTCTATTAGTGAATTAGAAGAGAAAATGTACAGAAAAATCTTTGAAATACTGAAAAAGAAAAAGAACTATGAAGGGGAAAGAGTCACTCTTTCAGATAATAAATTATAATATAAAGTTACAGTAATTAAAGCATAATGACAGTAATACAGAAATAGACATATGGATCAGTGATATAGAATAGCAGTCTAAAAGCAAACCTACGTGTCTATGGGTTTTTAATTTATAATAAAAGTGGCATTAAAATTAGCTGGAAAAAGCCGAAACCGGTTTGGCTCAGTGGATAGAGTGTCGGCCTGTGGACTGAAAGGTCCCGGGTTCGATTCCGGTCAAGGGCATGTATTATACCTGGGTTGTGGGCACATCCCCAGTAGTGGGTGTGCAAGAGACAGCTGATCGATGACTCTCTCTCATTGATGTTTCTAACTCTCTATCCCTCTCTCTTTTTCTCTGTAAAAAATCAATAAAAAATTTTTTTTTAAATTTTAGCTGGGAAAAGGCAGACAATTCAAGTGTTCTCACATTGAGGGGGATGGGAGGAGAAAATCTCAGCTAGTTTAAGGAGTCAAATGTAAAAAGCAAATATTTAAATTTATTAGAAGAAAATATAGAGAATTTTACAACTTCAGCATTGACAAGGCCTTCTTAGCAAGGTATAAAATTATGGAAAGACAACCCATGTTTATAACTTGAAAGACTTAGTATGAATATGTCAATACTATCCAAAGCAACCTATAGATTCAATACAACTCCTGTTAGAATCCTAATGACATATTTTTGCAAAAATAGAAAAACACATTCTAAAATTCATATAAAATCTCAAGGGACCCTAAAATTCCAAAACTTGAAAAAGAACAAAATTGGAGGCCTCGCCTTTCTTCCTGATTTACTACAACGCTACAGTAATCAAGACTTATGTGTCCTGGCGTAAAGACAGACATACAGACCAAGAGTTGGAATAGTGAGCCCAGAAATATCCCTCACTTATATGGTCGCATGTCAACAAGGGTGTCAAGAACACTCTCAATGGGGAAACTAAAGTCTTTTCAACAAATAGTGTTAAAAAGGTAAAAATAAAGTGGCACACAACAGAAAAGATGGAACATATTTCCTGAGATGCCACAGTCTGAACAGGACTATCTGTTCAAAGTGTTATCCAACAGAAATAGAATGTGAGACACAATTACAAGCCACATATATAATTTTAAAATTTCTTACAAATATATTTTATAAGAGAAAAGAAACAAAATTAAATTTCAGTAATTATTATTTAATCTAATATAAAATATTATTTCAATATGTAGTCAACATAAAAATTATCGAGATAGTTTATATTTTTTTCTTAATACGTCTTCACAATTCAGTGTATATTTTATATTTATAGCGTACTCAACTCAAATTAGCCACGTTTCACGTTCTTAATAGCCACATGTAGCCAGTGGCTATCAAATTGGACAGCACATAGCGTGTGCTGTGTGAGTGTGTGCGTGCGTGTGTGTGCACACATTTTAAATATGTCAAAGATATTAAATGTATTTATTGGTAATTTTAAAATTACCAATATGATAATATAGTCATGTGTAACTTATATAATTAAAAATATAAAGTTACACATTAATTTGCTTATTAATTTTGTTAAAATTATGTCTTTTATTACTTGATATGTTTATCATCAACATGCTTATTACTTCAACTCCTTATTTTCCTTTATTTCGATGTGATGAAAGATTATGAAACCATTTTTATTTGTAAACTGAAAGGTAATGAATGAATATAAAAACACCTTAAAGCTTATTTGGCTTACCTTTCACAATTATAAAACATTTTAAAATATTAGATTTTTTTTTTCCATGGAAAAATGTGTTTCTTTCCTAGTTTCAAAGGCCTGAGTAATTCACTATTAATTCAGTGGTAGCTAACAGGAGACACATAAGACACAGAAAAACATACTCAAGTACACACTTGAAGTAATTATCAAACGAAAACGTTGTCCTCGGTTTGCGGCATGCGGGAGGAAGCCTGAGGCAATGCATGATGATGTTAGTGGATGTACTGAACTTGACATAGGTTTGCTGATTCTTCAAAAAAGAGATGAACAGATAGGAGCTTCAGAATTGGAAACGTGAGAGCCTGCTTCTCAAAGACTCGCTATGTAGGTCATTTACTCAGATCGGAGCCTCCACCAGTTACGCAGCAAGTGTTGGAAGGAACACAGCATAACTGTAAGGACAGAGATGACTCCAGAGAGAGCACTATCAAATATGCAAAGAGAGGGACCACTCTGGGTGGCAGACTGAGATGGAAGAGCCTGCCAGTGTGCTAGCCACATCCCGGGTCGTAGCTGCCCACTCTCGCAGGCAGGAAGAAGAGGGCAAAGCAGATGACACTGAGGAACGCGCAGCCTCTGAATAGTTCTTTGCACGGCGGGCAGAGCAGCAAAGACACACTCACTAAGTCAGAGCTGCACTGTACACTGGCCTGAAGTTCACTTGAGGAGAAAGAGATGAAAGAAAAACAACCCCCTAACGAGAAGTCGGTGGGTGTGTAGAGGGAGGATAAGTTTTACATGAGGAGCAGACACTTAATTTTTATTTTCCTTTCCCAGCAGACACTGAAACATCTTCAGTTTCTAAAACAAAATGAAGATAAGCATACCTCTCTTTTTGATCACTATTACTTTTAATATATTTGAATCATTTCCTGTAATCAACAGAATTTTCTATTTAGTTCATGTCTATTTCATGGCCTGCTTCCATTTCCCATTTATTTCAATTACTGATATAGGCCCACGGAATGAGATGCAACAGGTGAAATAAAGGTACAGCGAGATTTCCCCCAGAAAGCAACCACTTTTACTAGTCTCTTTCATTTTAAAATCAACTTGACCACTAAAAACTGAAACTGCTAGAAAAGTCACCACATCATCTCTTCTAATTGTCTTACTAAAGCGAAGCAGGGCCCTAGCCAGTTGGCTCAGTGGATAGAGCATCAGCCCAAGGGTTGCAGGCTCAGTCCCCAGCCCTGACTCAAGAGGCAGCCAATGGATGAGTGTCTGTAATATCAACATTTCTCTGTCTCTCCTCTTCCCTTCCTCTCTCTGTAAATAAGTAAATAAAAATCAAGCAGAAGCAGGCCTGGCCACCGTCAAAATGAATGAGGAGGTGGAGGTTTTGACCAAGTGACACTCCAGCCACGGGGTCACTCCGGGTCTCATTCTATGGAGGTGGGCTTTCTCCCCATGCCCCCCACCCTTCCCCATCTGAGACCACGTGCTTTCCTCAGGACGAAAGGAAAGGAGGGGCAATCGAGGCGTGGAAGGAGAAAGCAGAGCCCAGGTCCCGTGCTAGGGCCGGGGGGTGGGCCGCAGGATGTCCCAGAGGGCTGGGCAGCAGTGTCAGGGAGTGAGAACACAGATGTGTAAACAGCACTCTCCTAGCTTCCAGCCCAGGAATGCAGGAATGCAGAGGAAGAGGAGCACGCAGGGAGGGGCTTCGCCATAAGCCCGGGGCTGGTGGAACATGTCTGACCAGCTTCTTCTCCAACTGCACACGTTTTCCCTGACTCAGGAAAGCCTCAGGCTGGGCGGGTGCCAGGCCAGCATGCCACCCTCCGGCAGAGGGAAGTCTTTTGGAACCAACATGGAGAGGAAAAACTAACGACTGTGTGTGTGCGCGCGCACACACACACACACAGACACACACACTGTGTGCACACACACAGTGCACACACACAGTGCACATACATACACACACACACACTGTGCACGCGCGCACACATACACACACGAGAATAAGAATAGAAGTCCTACTGCAGGTCACAATTGGTGAATTGTGAATCAGAGAAAAAATGAGAGCAATTTCAAAAACCTTCCGAATTAGTTAAAATCAGAGCTGCCAGACAAAACCGGTTTGGCTCAGTGGATACAGCGTCGGCCTGTGGACTGAAGGGTCCTGGGTTCGATTCCAATTGGGGGCATGTACCTGGGTTGCGGGCACATCCCCAGTAGGGGGTGTGCAAGAGGCAGCTGGTGGATGTATCTCTCTCATCGATGTTTCTAGCTCTCTATCCCTCTCTCTTCCTCTCTGTAAAAAATCAATAAAATATATATATATTTTTTAATAAAATAAAATCAGGGCTGCCAGGCACTGCTCGCCTCCAGGGGGCGCCACTCACATGGCTGCCTGTTTCCGGCATCCCTGATTGGGGAATGGTGCAGTCCACAATCATACAACCCACATGGCAACACCGCTGGGCACACACACCACTTTCTAAGTTTCCCCTCATTAAGCTCTTACTTGGGATGCAGGCTGTTCCCTTTGGCTAATATTTCCTATGACAGGAGAAAACAAACATTTAGAGCTTTATGGATATATTTTCTTAAAGACCCAAGGTTGTTGAGTACACACTGCAGCGTAGCTATGCTACAGAATATGACCAGATTATATACCTAAAGTATGACACACTGTACATGTTTTCCAAACTGTAAAGATTTTCCATGATGGATAGGGCTGCCCAGTTTCAAATTAAACACTATTTATTTAGAGACACGGGGCCATTTCAAACCAGGGTGGGCCGAGAGCCGAGGAGACTGGAACTCCTGTCGCAGGGCCTCTGGCACGTTCTACCCGGGCCTTTCAGAGTGTGATGATGAAAAGTTGAAAGTTTCTCTTTGTTTTAGAAGAGTTTTTCGGATCTCCTTCCTCCCCCTCTCCCGCCACCCTCAGAAAGTATCTCTTTCACTGCCATTATCGAATTCAGCAATCCAGCAGAAATAAAAGAATCTAAAAATGAGACGTGAGACATGAAACTGATCTTGTGTTTCAAATGATGCCACTGTAGTTTGTAACTTCTGGTTCTAATATTCCTGATTAGGAAGTGTCTAACCAAGTGAGATCAAGAAATATTAGTCATCAGTAGATAGGGCTGTGCTTTGTTCTCTTCTCCGCTTTGAATTAACTGTTGAGTCTACGGGAATCAATCTTTTAAGTTTTGGGTGTGTGTGGGGGGTGGGTACTGAGCTCATTCCTGGTGGTTTTAGAATTTACCCACATTTTCCCTTTTTGTGGAAATATTTACACTGGGGATTTCCACTAAGGGAATTAAAATTAATTGAGCTCTTTCTTTTTATTATAACAGCTGAGGCCATATTTCTATTAGTGTCTTTTTTCCCCCTTGCCCTACATATGAGACTCAATCTCAGGGTTCTCATGAAATATTACATATGTAAAATAAGGTAATATATGTGGAAATGTTTGGCACACTATATGGTACATGCTAATCACCCAATAGAAATTGAATATATGGTTGCTCTGAGTGAAATGTGCTCTGAGCTGGTATGGGGATTTTAAAAGATCTAATTTATCTTGGTTTATAGGAAGTATAATGGAGCCCTGGCTGATGACTCAGTTAGCTGGAGCATCATCCTCACACCAAAAGCTGCTGGCTCATTCCCCGTCAGGGCGCATGCCCGGGTTGTGGGTTTGACCCCCCAGTTGGGGCATGTATGGGAGGCAACCAATTGGTTTCTCTCTCACACTAACGTTTCTCTTTCTCCTTCTCTCCCTTCCTCTCTCTAAAATCAATGAAAACACATCCTTGGGTGAAGATTAAGATAAAGTATAAGTGATAAGTGAGATTATATATCCAGTAATGAAGTCTTCAACTTCAACTATCAGCTACGAATGTCTAGTTCCTGTAAATGCAATAGCAGAAGATGAGCTAGATATGCTTGAAAATGCTTAACTTAAAACGAATGGCAAGAGTGTGGAACCCAGAGACACTGAAAATGGGAATGCAGACAAACTGCAACACCCTCTCAGATCCCACCCAAGAAGCAACGAGTAAGCCTGAAAACTTGTCCAGCTGGGTTTTTTGGTTTTTTCACGGTATGGTGTAGAGACTGAGAAGAGGGGGGCCGGGTTCCATCGCTGGCTTTCCAGTTTCCATCACAGAAAAACAGGGAGGGGGGAATGTGTGCCATGCACCGAACAGCAATGCTTTGAGGATTCATGACGTAATGTCTGTGGAGGCTGGAGCTCCTTGGAAAAAAGACACTACATAAATATGAAGCAGTATTAATATTTAGGCTCAGTCCACAACATGAGACCCGCTCTCCCTGGCCCATGAGGTCATGCACAGACTTGCGAAGTGTGCTCACATGCCCACAAAGGCGTGTTGTTAGCTGCCGCGCAAGTGGACTGTGCAGCTTATCTGACCCACCTGGTCGGGGGGCCATGGAGGGATGTTCCCTGTCCGGGTCTCCAGAAGGAACAGACAGAGAGTGCTCCACTCCCAGAGGAATGAGCCGTGGCCAGAGCACTCAATAGCATTCAGGGCTTCCCAGGAATGCGGTGGGAGTTTGGGAATGCTCTGGCTTAGAATGAAACAAAAGTCCAGCCCATCACATCTGGATTCGGAAGAAAGCCTCCATGTGGCTTTCTCAGAGGAAATCTGAAGGCAGAGCAGGACTGAGAAAGCTACTTCTTGGAAGGGTTAGTTTCTATCTTTATAGGATTTGCTATCTTTGTAGGATTTGGAGGTATTTTTGTCCTGGGAAAGCTGTCAGCTCCAGGAATTGTCTCTCTGATAGCAACATTCTGATTCCTCATCAGAGCCTCAATCTGTGACATGCTTATCGAGGGCGATCTTGCAGAGGTTTTAGTTCTGAAGTTTCAAAGAACAATTAATTCGATGTAGACACTGCCTTGCGACATCTTGTGGTTTAACTCAAGGACAATAATGCTTTTATGGCAAAATATTTGCATCTCTCTGTTTTAAAAGATATCATTAATTTGGATCCAAGGGTCCTCAGGCATCAGAAACCACCATATTCAAAACGCAAGTTTCATAAACTTAATCATCTTTAGCACTTCACAGTGATTCTGAAGCTGTCTAAATACCAAAATATTTGAACAGATGGAAAAAAATGTGAGGAATCTGTTATCTGGATGTTTGTTTCCACGTTGACCTAAGTTGGGTTCTTTCGGGTCTGATCTGGCTTTCTGTTCCCAGATTACAATGCTATTTCAGACTGACCCGTGTGCTTTTTAAGGGAAGGGAACAGAAATGTTACAGCCTTCTCCACGTGGAGCCAAATCTCCACTAACTAGAAAGTCTTTGCTAAATAAAACACTGACCTTCTTTCTTCCTCTTCCCATCCCTGGATGAGCAGCTTAGTCCCAACGCCAGAGTTAGGCGGGGCCCGAGTCTGAGCAGGTGAGAAGGGTGCCCGTGTGGAGAGCAGGCCTGGCACGGAGGATGAGCTGACGGCGTGAGGAGGCCTCATCAGTGACTCGCAGTGGGTGTGAGAGGGAAGGGGTCCAGGGTAGGAGAGCCAGCACCCTGGAGGGTGGAGATGGACACCTGTACGTGTGTGGGGAAGGTGGCAGGGTGGGAGTTTGCTTGCACTTGAGGGGATGATTAAGTAAATACGCTAAGCATAATGGGAGCTAGGTTCCTCACGGAGGGAGAAATTACAAATATGCAAGTGAGAAAACTAGAATAATTTTTATAGAATTGACTCAGAATTGTCAATATAGGTGTGAATTCTGTAATATAGAGACATAAATGTAGTTGTGTGTGTGTGTGTGTGTGTGTGTGTGTGTGTGCGCTTACACATATTCTCTAGCTCTCACCACTGCAAAAGTCCACATCGTGGTGACTAAAAGGAACCACTGAAAAACCTTGGAGAAATGACTGCAGAAAGTTGTGCCAAACTTGCTGTGCCAAAGTGTAAGGAAGTGGGGCATGTAAACACACACACACACACACACACACCAAAAAAAAACAAACAAAAAAAACAGCTGGAAGGGTCTCCCACTAGCAAATTATGAGACAGTGAGAGCATCAAAATAAGTATGAGTAATGGATAACATAGGCACCCATAATTAAATAATAAATAAATGGGAAGTTTAATAAAGATCAGGCTAATTTACATAGTTTCAAAGAACTTCCCTACCAACTACTTATTTATTACAAAGAGGAAGAAAGTACTTGGAGAGTAGAGAAGCTCAGCAGAAACTACCTTAATCAAGTGAGCCAAATAAACGTCACCAGGAATGGACAGTTCCCAGTCCAGTCATGTGTCACCTGACAGGAAGCAGTGGGCACCACGTCTGCAGGATTCTTGAAAAGATGCACACCCTGAAGTTAGCCATGCAGAAAGACCAGACAAGCCCAAACTGACCTTCTCCAAAAGAACTGGCTCGTTCTATACATACATGTCAAGGTCATGCAGGCCAGAGAAAGCATGAGGAACTACTCCAAACGAGAGGCCAAAGACATTTCACAAGTAAAGCAGCATGTGCTCGAACCCGGACCCATCTGCCCGAACGGCCATGACTGGGACAGCTGGGAAGGCGTGGGTGGAGCCTGAGGGTCAGCTGGCAGCAGTGGTCAGAATGACCTCCCTGCCTCCCAGGCTGTGGTTCAGTAGGACGCCCAGGCTCCTGGGCCCCGCAGGCTGCGGTGATCTGGAGTTGGCCAAGCAACTGGCTCAGAAAAGCGCATCACTGTGCCGTGCTCACAGCTGTAAGTTAGTGTTTCAAAGAAAAATAAGATCAAACTAACTTATTATTTTTTAAAAGACTGTACAAATCCTTATTTTTTCCTGTTGTTATAATGCATATTCTACAGACAACTGTTGCAGACACTAAAGCCATGGAAGTCAAGTAGACATGAGCAGATCGATATCTTTAAAAGATGACTCAGTGCTTTGTGTCAAAGACACTGTGAGGGCAACATGAAGAGAGGGAGGCCGGTGGCTAAGGGCTAGCAGTGAGAGAGTAGTAAGTGGTCCGATTGGAATCTACTGTCCCAGGGAGCTCCCTGGCCTTGCTGGCAGACTGGAGGTGGGTAACCAGGAAGCAGAACTAAGAGCGGCTCTGAGAGTTAGTCACAGGAGGTGGGTAAATGATGGTGTCATTTACTGAGACTGCGAAGACTGAGGGAGTGACTGCTGATGGGAAAATCCTGAGAATTGGGTGTCAGACAGTGGAGTGGTATGGATGGACACCCGATTAAAGTAGGATAAAGAGGACAGAAAGCAGGAGAGTGGACACAGCAAGCACAGGCAATTCTCTTGCAAGACAGGTGTGATTTGGCGCCAATGAAAGAAGCGAGAGCAGTGTGTTTGTGAAGATGCAGGCAGAAATTAGCTTGGCTTATTCTCGTGACAGTAAAAGAACTGACGTAACAAGGAAGGGAACGTGTTGGGTAAGAGTGGGAAATAAGACAGGTAACACAGAGCCAGATCATGAGCCGCCTGAAAGTCAGTCAGAGGTGTTTAGACTTGATGAAGTAGGAAGCAGGAGTCATGAGACACTTTAATTAGGGAAGTGATCTGACGAAAGTTATATTAAAGACGATCAGATGGAAGTGGTATGTGGGAGAGAGCAGGAGGCGGGGGGAGAGCCTGAGGCGGTGGCAACGATTCAAATGTGAGAGGATGAAGGCCTGGACTTGAGTTTTGGCAGAAAGAACAGGCTGGAAGGGGAAGGCTTGGCGGAATTGCGGTACCTGACTAAATAAGGAGAGTGCTACCAGGATTCTCAACTTGACATTGAAAGGATAAAGGTGATGCTGAGAGGAACTGGGCAGAGAAACTTGTTCTGGGCGTGAAAGGTGGAGGGCGATGGTGAGTAAAAAGATGAGCATACCGGACTGGACATCTGACAGCTGGGAGACGCCTGAAGCCCTGAGAACGGAAGGACCCTCTCGGGAAGTTACCAGAGGATTGCATGGAAATGAGAGGGCAAACCAAGAATAGGAAGTGAGAGATCTACCACAGGGAGAGGCAAAGAATTCCCTGGAAATCGGTGAAGGGAGATTCCAGGCACCAGGCAGAGAGAGCAATCACGCAGACTTGGTCAGAAGTGAAAAGCTCCAGGCTGGATTTCTCAGTGAGGATAAAATTATTGCTTCTGAGCATCTCAGGGAAGACTTAGACCAGCACTGTCCAGTAGAACTTCCTGTGACGATAACACATTTTATATCTGCACTGTCCACCACAGTCACTAGTCAGAGCACTTGAAAAGTGGCTGGTATGACCGAGGAACTAAACTTATAATTCTATCTAAGTAAAATTAATTTGAATTTTAACCACATGTGGTTAGTGAATACCATTTGGACAGTTCAAGTCTAGATAATCAGCAGAATATTTGAAGTTGAATTAGGAATACGTATAGAGAAAACTAAGAAAATGAAAACAATTATTAACCACCGGGAAAACAAAAACTTATGCAAGAAAGGAAAATCAAGTATGGCTTACTACATAACACAGCTCTAGACAGAATTAGATAGTTATAAAAATGCAAGCACAAGTTATTGACATAACCCAAATTATAAACTGGGAGGCTATTAGGTGGTTATTTTATTGTATCCTCATTTGCCAAATAAGTATAGATATTTTCTCAATAGCACTAACTTTATTTCTCTAATATATCCTTTTTTTACAAAAATATTTTTATTGATTTGAGAGAGAAACATCAATGCAAGAGAAAAACAGTGGTGTCTCTTGGGTACACCCTGATCGGCGGTCACAACTACAACCTGGGTATGTGCCCTTTGGTGCCCAAGACAACCTCAACTAACTGAGCACACCAGCCGGGAATCGCTAATATATTCTGAATGGCTCCACAGCGCTTCATGTTATTGGTCTACCAAAATTTACTCATCCGATCCTCCACTGAGTGACACTTAGGCTATTTCTAATTTGGGACAATTAGACATAGGGCTTCAATAATGAACACTGTGGATCACTGCTTTTTGAAATGCAACTGTAATGAGGCAAAATTTACATACTATTGCATCTATTTGAAGTGTACACTTCTATAAGCTTTCATAAATATCTACAGGGTGCCCTCCAAAATGTATATATATTTTGAGTAATTATAAAGGCAGTGTTTATTAAAATACATTTTGTTTTCAAAATGTAAGAGCTATCAGCTATTAGCATGTGCATACATTTTTGGGGACATCCTGTATATACTTGTAATCACCACAATCAAGCCAGACAACATTTCAGCATCCCGAAGTTTCCTTGTGTCTCTGCAGTAAATCCCCACCCCATCCCAACACCAATTTGTTTCTTATCATTTTAGATTAGTTTTGCTTCTAGATTTTCATATAAATGAAATCATACAGGTGTGTTCTTTTTTTTCTGACTTTTAAAGATTCATTCAGTTTATTTATTTCTACAAATGTCAGTTTGCTAATTTTTGTCTTTCAAGGAAAGTGTCTATTTCAACTAAGTTGTCAAACTTATCAGAATACAGTTTTCACACTAGTCCTTTATTTTGTTCTTAATGTCTGTGGAATTTTGTCAATATCCTACTTCTCATGCTTGATATTGGCAATTGTGTCTTCTCTCTTAATTTCTCAACCAGTCTAGTTAGAGGTTGACCAATTTTACTGATATTCCTTTTGGTTTCAGATTTACTGGAACTTGTTTTATGACCAGAATATGGTCTAACTTGGTGAGTGTTGTACAAACATTTGAAAAGAATATGTATTTGGTAGTTTTGGGATTGTTTTATTAGGGTAATAATACCAAAATTATTGATAGTTCAATTTGGATATTTTCTATTGCTCTACAAGTTCAGTGATCTATTTTTATAGCTTCTAATCTGCTGCTAATCCCATCTAATAATACTTTAAAATTTCAGATATAGTATGTTAAACTTTATAGTCTGTTTGCCTCCCCTCCCGCCCCCTATTTTTAACACTTCCCATTTATCTCATTATTCTATTCATTCATGTTTTTCTTTAAATCCCTGAGCACAGCCTTATCCCATTTCTTAAGTATAACTTACACACAGTAAAAAATAATCCTAATTTTTAGTATACAGTTCTGACAAATGTACACACACACACACACACACACACACATATATATTTCATCAACCCCCAAAACTCCACTATGCCCCTTTGTAGTGAAACCTCACACTCAGCCCTGAAACCTACTGATCTATTTTCTTTTCCTATAGTTTTGCTTTGTAAGAATGTTGTATAAAAGATAAACTGACAGCACATCAGTCTGAGTTTCATAGACCTGTTTCCCAGAAAAAAACTGGTGAAAACTATTTTTAAAAACATAAAGTCTTTGAAATGATCTTAAGGAAATACAGCAAATGAGGAAAGCTCTATGCAAATAAATAAATAAATAAATAAATAAATAAATAAAATAAAAATAAAAAAAATTACAAAAATTTGGCAAGAACAACAAAAATTTGTAGTATTTGAACCAAAATCACTCCCTCCATTCTCCAGGCTCTGTGAGATTCCACTCCACTCAACTCCAGACTGGTGTAGCCAGGAACTCCCAACTCCCTCTCCCCCAGCTCACATTAAGAAGCCTATATTTATGAGAGGGACAGACGTGAGCATTTCTCATGCTGGCCCTACCTATGGCTGGAATTACGGGTTTCCATCTTCCACCCAGCCCCCAAGATAAGACTAATGCTCTACTTTGGGTGAAGTACTTCGGAGAGTGCAAAGACACCAATCACTCTTTCCCTGGTTTGTAAGACAGTGAGTGGTTCCATGCTGGGAATATCAAGCAGAAAAGACCGGAAGCTAATGTTCCTCAATAGCTAATACTCAGTTCCTCAATCAGAAATTTTACTGAGAGATGCTTGCCACTGTTCCCATCCCAGCTCTGGGGCTATAGCTTAGAGGTTTTTCCAGTAGGTAGAAGTGGAACATCAAAGAGATCACTCCTAAACTTTCCCCAAAGAAAATGACTTATTTGCAACAGAGCATGAAAGAAATTCAAGGCAAAGGGCACTCTCAAACACAGTGAAGGTTGTATTGAAAATTTTGAGAGGTTATTGGTAGATTCATTGGAGATACATATGGGCTAAACTATAGTTTGGCCAGTTTGCAAGAGATGATCAGGAATAGAAGCAGCTGGGAGGAACCCTCATGAGGACAGAACAAATCTCAAACGCCAACTTAAGGAACCATCCCTTCAAGGAGCACAAATTTGATTGGACTAGTCTCTAGAGAAATTCATGCCTGGGACACTTTTGAAAACAATCACCAGCAATTAGTTTAACAGCTGGGTGTGGTCATGGAAAGAAGACAAAGAAAGCCCTGATAAAATCAACATCATCCCAAAATGACTGTGTGCATATTCAAGGCTACACTAGCTGAGTAGCAACTTCAGAGGCTTAAAACTACAGGGGGAAAGTAGATTTCACTAAAATAATCAGCATCTCACTAAACAAATAAATAAATATTAACAATAACAAGCCTGAGCAGTGAGAGAACCATAACCATAGTTGCTATAATATATGATGTAAAAGGTCAAGTTTCCAACAAAATATTATAAGACATGCAAAGAAATAGGAAGGTATGACCCATACACTATAAAAATAAACAGATAACACAAAATGCCTGTGAGAACAACCAGATATCAAAGTTAACACACAAAAACTTCAAAGTATACATCGTACACATGACCAAAGATTTAAGGAAAATCATCTTTAAAGAAACAAAGGTATGACAATGTCACACACAATAGAGAATACCAATAAAGATATGTAAATTATAAAAAGTACCAAGTGGAAATTCTGAAACTAAAGGTGCAATAACTGAAATAAAAATTTTACTAGAGAGCTTCAGCAGTAGATTTGAATTGACAGAAGAAAGATTAGCAAATTTGAAGACAGATTAACAGAGATTATGCAATGCAAAAACCAGAGAGAAAGAGAATGAAGAAAAATGACAAGACCCTCAAAGAAATAGGGAACACACCAACATGCACATAATGAAATAACGAGAAGGAGAGAAAGGTGAGAAAAAATATTTAAATAAACAAGGACTAAAACCATCTCAAATTTATTGAAAACATTAACCTTTACATCCAGGAAGCTCAATGAACTACAAGTAAGATAAATACAAAGAGATCCACAAACAGACACACCATAGTAAAAATGATAAAAGCCAAAGACAAGATGAAAATCTTAAAAGCAACAAGAGAAAACAACTCATCACTTACAAGGGAACCCTATAAGAATAATAGTTACTTCTCAGCAGAAACAATGGAGACCAATTGGGCAGTAGAGTAACATATTCAAAGTGTTCAAGAAAAAACTGTCAAATAAGAATCCTGTATCAAGCAAATCTATCTTCAATTTTTATTGTTGTTGTTTATCATCACCCAAGGATTTCTTTTTTCATTGACTTTTAGAGAGAGTAGAAGAGAAGTGGAGAAACATCAGCTGGTGCCTCCCAAATGCACTCTGACCAGGGATGGAGCCTGCAACCAAGACAGGTGCCTTGATCAAAATTGAACCCAGGACCCTTCAGTCTAAAGGCTGACACTCTATCCATTGAGTCAAACTGGCCAGGGAGAGCAAAGCTATCTTTAAAAAAACAAAGATAAAATAAAACATTTCCAGATTAACAAAACCTGAAAGAGTTTATTAATACACACACACACACACACACACACACACACACACACTACAGGCCTGATGCATGGATTCATACACACTAAAAAAAATTAATTAGAAGAAATATTTTAGAGGCTGGAGAGGGATCACAGGAGGTTGGCTCCAGGGCATGTCTGGCCTATCTCACCCAGTTCTAATTGGCCAGACCCCAGCAGCAAGCTAACCTATTGGTAAGAGCATCTGCCCCCTGGAGGTCAGTGTGCATCGTAGCGAACAGTTGAACAATGGTCAGACCCTTAGCACGTTAGACTTTTATATATAATATATAGATATGTATAAGCAGACCTCCTAAAATCAATAAGAATGCAAGACAACCCAATAGAACTCAATAGAAAAAATGACAAACCCTGAAAATACACTTCACCAAAAAAAGATATCCAACATGGCCAATTAACATATGAAAGGGAGCTCAATTCACTAGTCAGCAGGGAAATGCACATTAAAACCACAATGACATACTACTATACACCCACCAGAATGATTAAAATGAAAAAGATGGAAAATGCCAAGGGTTGGTGAGGACGTGGAGCAACCACAACTCTCATACATTGCTGATGGAAGTGTGAATTGGCACAACCACTTTGGAAATCGTTTTGTAGTACCTATTAAAGGCAAAATGTACACATTCCTTTGACCCAGTAATTCTACTTCTAGCTATTATATTCTTACCAGAAATGTATACATATTTCACTAAAAAATATGTGCAGAATGTTCAGAGAAGTACTATTCCTAACTAGAGGCCCAGTGCATGGATTTGTTTACCAGAGGAGTCCCTCGGCCTGGCCCATGGACATCCTCCAAGGGGTCCCAGATTGTGAGAGGGTGCAGGTTAGGGTCTAATGGGATGTGCCAGGTATAAAAACTGGGACACAACTACCCGGCTCTTATACCTGGCACACTCCCTGGGACCCTGTCCTAGGATATGACCTGTATAGTAACTGTATTAACTGTGCTTAACGGAAGCCTGGAGGCTTCCTATTGCTTAGCCTTACTTGGTTGCTGCTCCCCTCCTCTTCCTCATCGCCGTCTGGAGCCTGAGGGGCGACCTCGGAAACGCTGTTCTCCTGAAAGAGGTTATCCTCCAGATCAGACACTCTGGCGGCTTCCGTGATGACTTTGAGTTTCATGTTGTGGAAGCCGGTCGAGACGACGCCCACTTGCAGGTTTACGGGCTCCCCCTCGAACAGCACGACGTGCGAGTTCACCCCGTGTTTAAAGCCAGGGGGCTGGTAATAATCTGGGGTCACTGCAGAATAGAGAGTGGAGAACACTGAGTCTCACAGGACAAACCGGGCTCATCTTTCAGGGTAGCAGCAGACATAGTTTTCTTTCTTTCTTTTTTTTTTTTTTTTTTAATAATATATGTTATTGATTTTTCACAGAGAGGGATAGAGAGTTAGAAACATCGATGAGAGAATCATCGATCAGCTGCCTCTTGCTCATCCCCCACTGGGATGTGCCCGCAACTAAGGTACATGCTCTTGACTGGAATCGAACCTGGGACCCTTCAGTCCGCAGGCTGACACTCTATCCACTGAACCAAATCGGTTTTGGCCAGACATAGTTTTCTGATGCCTGCAAAGCCCTTCTCTTCACATGAGATGTCACTTCAGCACTCAGAGGGGATCTGGCAGAGGGCCGGCCCACCTGCGTTGTAGTAGTGGAGTTTCATGGTGAGGACAACGTCATTGGGAAGGGGGCCGAGGTTCTGCATCAGCATGTACAGTTTGCGGAGTAGCAGGATGCTGGCTTTCTTAATGTGGCCCCTCTTTGTCCCGCTCTCAATGCTCGTGCTGCTGCTGTAACCACATAAAAAACAGCATACTTTTCAGTCAGACATACTATCACAATATCTTTAAAAAGACCAAAACTTTTTACTATAAAATCAAATAAAAATAAATTACACATCAGGACACTCTTGAGACTTCTTTCAGAATGTAAATTAGAGGAGAGGTTGTATTTTTTTTTATAACGTATATACAATAGATTTCTTTAAAGCTAGTTCCCTTAAGGTATTTTAAATATGACCTGCGTTTTTAAAATTTGATTTTTATTTTAATACATTTTATTGATTTTATACAGAGAGGAAGGGAGAGAGATAGTTAGAAACATCGATGAGAGAGAGTCATCGATCAGCAGCCTCCTGCACACCCCCCACTGGGGATATGCCCGCAACCAAGGTACATGCCCTTGACCGGAATCGAACCCGGGTCCCTTCAGTCCCCAAGCCGACGCTCTATCCATTGAACCAAACCGGCCACGGCAAAATTTGATTTTTAAATGACCACAGGCTATAATAGTGAGGACAATGGATTTGGAATTAGGAGACTTGACATCGAATAATGGCTCTGCTGCTATTAGCTGAATGACCTCAGTCAAGTTACATGGACATGCTAGGACAGTTAGCTCATTTATGATAAGCTTGCACACATTTCTACACCTTTTCTAGTATAAAATCTATCATCTGGTTATCTCTCAGAGGTATCTCCTCCTCACTCTTACTATGATAATGACTATTCTTCCTGCTTTTTTCTTGTCTACACTAAAAAATATTTTCCACACCACCACTGGAATAATATTGCTAATAGAAAAATCTGCTCATGTCACTAGCTTGCTTAAAATTCTCCTATTACATCCATTTTCTTTTAATCAAAATCGAGAATGGTGTACAACGCCTTTCATGACCAGCCATGCGCTCACCCCCACCTCCCTTTGCAGTCACTATCCAGTTACTTCTCATCCACGTGTATTTACACTTTGCTTTCCTGTGCTTTTCACTCCTCTTCCTGACTCTCCCGAGTCCATTCTTTAATACCTAGCCATGTGTCACCTCGCCAAGGCAGTCTTCCCTGATAACCCCGTACCTCACCCTTGTGTAGAGTGTGTGTATGTCCCCTTCTAGACTATGAGTGTCTACGCCTCTCCTCTCCACAGTCCTAAGTTTGGCCCCCAGCTAGGTAAGTACACAATAAATATTTGTTGAATTAAGGAATGAATGAACAAGTTGGACAAATTATTTTCCAATTCTAACGTTTTCTTTTTCCCAAGAATTTTAATCCCCAATCCACTTCACACTGGAGTAGTTTCCAGGAAGAAGTATGACTGTAATATATTTGCATACTGCCTCTCACATAGTAAGCACTCAATACTGAAAAATAATCCCAGTAATTGAACTATCGGAGGCAGTGAGAATTCCTAAAACAAACATTGTTAAGTAAATACACTTGTTCCTGTTTCAGTTCCGAATAACCTTCAGTTTTGTCTACCAGGATTTAACCAATTTGAAATAGGTAACCAGAGATAGCCATTTAGCTCATGGGATTCTTTAGTATACGTCATATTCACATAAAATCATAATCAAGACTTCCCTGCACTCTTTTAAAAGGGAAATTATCTTTACCATGGAAGAGGTGGTAGGTAATTTTATATGGTGATTATTTAAACAAATGTCTACCTTTGGTTTCTAGGAAATCAGTAATATGTATTACCGCTCTCCTCCTTAGTAGCTAAAAGATTTGGCCATTTGTTTTACCATTCACCTCTTGACATACATGCCTTCATAACAAAAGAAATTTCTTGCCCTAGTTGGTTTGGCTCAGTGGATAGAGCGTTGGCCTGCAGACTGAAGGGTTCTGGGTTCAGTTTCTGGTCAAGGGCACATGCCTGGATTGCAGGCTCCTCACCAGCCCTGTACCTGGTCCAGAGGCAACTAATCGATATGTTTCTCCATATTGATATTTCTCTCTGCCTCTCCCTCTCTTTCACTCTCTCTAAAAAGCAATGGAAAAATATCCTCAGGTGAGGATGAGAGAGAGAGAGAGATTGCTCTGGTTGTCATTAGGTCTTACATTTGAATTTTAGAGGATAAAGGCAACTGTTTTGTGTAAGAGAATATGTGTGAAAAGTGCTGAACAATCTGTAGAGTGCTATACAAATGTTAGCTAATGGTGGTTAATATTGCCATTCTCATTCCTGGAACTCACTTCCTCTTCACACCCCAGTGCCATCTGTAAGTCTTACAAATGAGAAAATAATTAAGGAAGTGAATCTTGGAGAGAAATCCTCAAACTTGCAATAAATGATGAAACAGAGCTAATAGCACAGAAATTGAGAATTAGGCCACATTTCTCTTGAGAGTCATCCCCTGGGCACGGAGTAATCTGTGCCCCGTGTTTTTCACCATCTTCCACCCCCTCCATTTCCATTCCATCGCATCAGCAAACTGTGGCTCTTTCTGAACCCAAAAGCTCCTGGTAAGGAAATAAAGAAAATAAATGTGGCTCTTTAATAAAACATCTCCATCTGCACTAAGGACCTTCGGAAGCAAATGTACTTGTCTTTGCTATTTAACCTATTAGTATATATAAAACTTGGAATTTGATACTTGCTAGGAAAATAGTGCTTCCCAGTCTTTTCCACACTAAGACATACACAGAAGATTAATTTTGTGGGACATACTGAGGTCAGCAGTGACAGTGATTGTGTCTATAAGCAAATCGTTCGGCTGTTTCATCTACCCAGATTCGGAGGGCAGAGAGGACCAATATCTTGGCATAGCAATGGAGACATTTTGGTTTAGTGGAAAGACAGAGTCTTTGGAGCTCTTAAATCAACACCATGTAGACGCCTCATTCATATAAGCTCTGTGCTGTCTATGAACCATCATTGCCTTCAGGGACCACTATCGCCACACCACCACCACCACCACTAGGTACCATTACTGAGTGTTTATTATGTGCCAGGCCTGGGCACAGCTCAATATATGCATAACTAATCATTACAACAACCATATGAAGGAGATACTGTATTATCAACTCCACTGTGCATACCACTATTTGGGGCGGTTGAGTAATTTGTCCAAAGTTATATAACCAGTAACAGTAACTGGGGTTCCAAGCTAGATCCTCTGCCTTAGGAATTGCAACTCTTAACCACTCACTGTAACTGCTTTAGGCCTTACTAGCACCACCTATGAGAAAAAGAGGAAATGAGAGGACGCCAGTTTCCACCGGAAATCTAAAGAATTGTCCAACCCCTCTTTAGAGCAGTGCTGGAGTTCTTTGTAGGGTTATTGGGAGAGTTAGAAAGGAAGGATGAGGCCCATCTGTGGCCTCAAGAGGCTTATGTTTACCCCAATCATATCTGTTTCTCCTGTTCATTAAGCAATTAGATCCTACCTGTCAAAATCCATAGTGATTCCTTCGTTTGTGTATTTGAATTTGAACTGGTATATCTCAGTCACTTTCTAGAAACAGCAAAGGGAAGAGAGAAATAAATTACTTTAAGAAAGAAATCCTTTGGTAGTTACAAAATAATTGAAGGAATGAGATTTGTATCCCCACGATATTCATATAGTAATTCTTTAAGGGGCCTATCATGCATTGGGTTGTATAAATCCTTCCTTAATATATTTACAGTTTGGCTTACACTTATTAATACCCTCCACACATTTTGTAGTGTGTCTGCAGAAAAGCTACACTACCCTTCTTTACTACTTTCCTTTTTGTCCCTACTTTTGTCAGTTCATCTCAAAACGTCAAGTGCAAAGCACCACAGCTTTTTGCACTGCTCAGTCTTGTTGGCCTCTGGATGGGTTAGCACCCTTTCCTTACGACAGTGGTTCTCTTCACGGGTGTGCTGAAAATTTTAATCCATGTGTAAACTGTATTTTCACTTCAGGTAAATATGAATATTGTTATTGTCTGGGCAGTTTTGCTTATTAGAGGATACAGTTCTATGGATGAGTCAAGAAACTCGGCACGAAATCAGATAAATGCCAATAATGAAGAGTCTGGAAGCACTCAAAATATTTTTTCAGGAACATAAACGATAGCTCAGAACTTATCACATAATAAGCCTTTGTTTCCTAATTCATTGTTACATTTACTGCGTATAGCAATGCTCATTTAATAGCTCTCTTTTCACTCAGTAAGATTTTTCTGTAGTGAAGTCCAATTTGCTTAGCATTTCACTACCTCAAAACCACTGATTTCAGGGTTGAAGTTGTGTGTGCATAAGAAAACATAATTTATAATAACTTACCACACTAAGGAAGTGACCAATTTATTAACAATTTATCAGGAGGGTTTAGTTTGGGAAACTTCCCATCAAAGCTAGGGGGGACGGGGGGAAGTGACACTAGAGACAAAGACCCAGAGGTACTCTGGCACTGAAGAACTGTTACCCGCCTATATGTACCAATTTCTTTCCACCTTGTTCAAACACATATTTATGATCTTGCCAAGAAAGGATTTTAAAGACTAAAAATGCTTAATTTGGTCTTGAATGCCACTAATTAGGCAAAACCCATTGGCTCAGAGAAGGTAAATGGAAAGCAAAGAAAAAGGTTAAGGAACCGGAAAGAAAGAGAGGAAGAAAGTAAAGAGAGTGAGAAGAGTGAGAGGCTTCTCCCTCCATTTCTCTGCTGCCGCCACAGTTTCCAGTCAAAGCAGCACGTGTAACTATTACGTGCTCAAGACAAGTCTCTTGTTCTCTAGATTCACAATCTGGTTGGGAAGAGAAAGTATCCACATGAATCAATTGGGAATGTTAAATTGTGGGCTACTGATGAAAAAGAAATTTGGAGAAGGAAGAAATTTGTGTGAACAGATCAGGCAGAGACTTTCATGAAATATTTGGATGGAAGTTGGCCTTGAGGATGAGTAGAACTCAATCAGCAGAGGGAAGAAATTTAGAGAAAGAAATAAAGAGGTAAAGCTCTGAAAGTCTAGGAAAAGGTCAAAAAGTGGAGAATTTAGGGGGGAGGCGGGGGGGGTAGTTTAGAATTATGCACACCTTCCAAAAGGCCACAAACAGAAAGGATTCAGAATCAGTTAAAATGAGTAATAAAATATGGCGTTTATACAAGCGTAGATTCTTCATGTTAACATATTAGGAAATAGGCTCAGATCCACTCAATGCTTATTTTTCAATGCCCCTAAGTAGTTTTTAAAATCTCATAATAAAGGATTGGTGACATTTATAATGAAACATACTGAAGGAGAGTAACTTTGCTCATATGGTAGTGTGGTAACGTGATCTACAACCCTCAATTTAAGTAAACATTTTTAAATATAATGTACATTTACTACCCATCTCTATGTGTGTTCTCACCTCAGGTTCCTTGGGATTTGGGTAAAGCTGTTTAAGGAAAAATAAACAGCACTTAATTTCTGAAAGATACTACATTAATCCTCACAGAATACATGTTCTATATGAAGAGTTCAATTTGTGCTATATTGAGTACAGAAATAGATAGATAGATAGATAGATAGATAGATAGATAGATAAACAGATAATCTTAAGATACATAGTTCAAGCCAGAGATAGAATAAGCTCATTTTGTAAACATAGCCTTTAGAATATTCTGTAAATACTGACTATAAGAAAATTGATAGCCAGGTATTTATGATTACTGGTTATGATTTGTGACTGAGCTACAAATATATTCTAAATAATTTTTATGGTTTATGATTTTTAAATAAATAATATATTTAAGACTCTCAATGATATCTCATTTTCTTTCTATCTTAATAGCATTCACCATGTTATACCCAGAAATAGATAAAACTTCAGAAAACTCCACAAAATTTCAATCTGTAAACTCAAAAAATAAAATTATGATAGCCAACAGATGAAGCAGTTGGTATATCCTATATTTTCCCATGTATTACAATATGCCAACAAAACAGTTTGTGATATTTTACTAAAAACTCCTGTTTTAAAAATTCTATTTTTTAAAAAATTCCAAAATGTCATAGGACAGATAAGGAAATTCAGGAAGGCAGCGGGAAGTACTGTTTAATGCTTCACTTGCCAAAAGACAGTGAAGTAGAGACAGAGTGAGTATTTAAATGTATACTTACTGTAAGGATTGCCATGTGTAGCTTCAAGAAAAAAAAAATACTGTTATTATATTTTATATACTTTCATTAAAGGCTAATTAAAATATTATTTCAGAGAGGTCCAAAGTTTTGAGTTGAAAAAATACTATTCAGAACAAAAGGGATCCTAATTATTCATTCACTCAGTGAGTGCCTATTACATACACAGGTTTATGGTGGGAAGAGGGGGGATTTAAAGAAAAGAAAAAAAGGAAAGAAAAAGAAAATAATTATCCTTATTCTCTATAAGTTGTATTAAAGTTTGGGAGGTAAAATATATAAAATAATTTATTATTACTAGAAATTAAATGTGCCACAATTATCTAAAAAAAATGTGCCTTTTGAAACAAATCAACTAAACTAAAAAGTTTTAAGCCTGACATAAATCTATAAAACCTTTGCTCTCCCTACATCTATACATTACTATACACAGATTCTTTCTGCTTGAATATATAGATATACAGATAGAGATATAATGAAGCCTATCATAAAAATTTAAAACTAGATTACAAATGACAAAATTTCAGGACCACAATTTCATAGCAAATTATTCACCTTTTTCACCCAAAGGACTAAAACTTTAGTGACACTGTGTGGCTATTTTGGTTACTGCATACAATTGATTTTAACACTACACAGTGCAACTCTGCTGTATATTAATTATTTAATTAAAGTTTATTCATTCTTTTGACATGGCCCCAGCCCTGGCCAGTGGCTCGGGTGGTTGGAGCATTGTCCCATACACCAAAAGTTGTGGGTTCAATTCCGGTCAGGGTACATACCTAGGTTGCAAGTTTGATCCCAGGTCCGGGCCCTTATGAGTGGCAACTGATTGATGTTTCTTTCATATCAATGTTTCTCTCTCTCTCTCTTTCCCTTCCCCTCTCTCCAAAAATCAATTTAAAAAACACACACCATATCCTTGGTGAAGATTAAAGAAAAAAATAGACATGGCTCCGATCATAGAACTTGCAGACCAGCAGGGAAGAAAGTATTAAACAAAAAACTATCACACAGATAGGTGCCAGTTGTAATATTTGCATGAAGAAACAGCACAAGGTGTTTGGGAACAATGGAGGCTGGCGGGAGAGGGCTGTCAGAAAAGGCCTCCCTGAGGAAGTAGAGGTTTAGGCTGAGACCTGAAGGGTCCTGGGTAGCCAGGCAAAGGATGCTGGGTAGGAAAGTTTTCCAGGCAAAGGGGAGCAACATGCAGAAAGGCAAAGGCACCAGCATAGTCTAGATTTGTTATGTGGCTGCGACAGAGAGCAGTGGGGAGGGATGCCTTGGGAAAGCAGGTGGAGTCTAGCTCACACAGGCCTTGCAGATCACTTCAGGGTTTCTTAAAGAAATAGGAACCGAGAGGGAGTAAAAAGAAGATACAGATGGAGAGAAGGGGAGAAAGCAGTAATAGGAATTTCATTATATATCTTATCTCTTCAGCTGTAATAATTAGACCAGAGCCTCTAATTATTACACCCTTTGTAGCTATCTTGGGCAGCAAGAAAGATCTGATGCACTTAATATTTAAGCTGCATTTCTAAAAAATTTGAGCTACAGTAGTAGTTATTTTGAGGGAACAGAATATAGACATATATACACCAAGTTACCAATAACCAACATAGAATAAAAACGAATTATTCAAGTCCATTTTTCCCTTTCCTATCTGCAAACTGAATCGCCACTATTTGAACATGCTCAGTGTGCTAAATGCCAGATTCTTGTCTCCCCTCTCCCACATCCTGTGGATCTCTTCCAGTGACTTCAGAGGAAATTCTGTGGTCAAAAGATATGAGTATGTAAAAGAGAAGAATGAGGGTTTCATTTCTAATTGATGTAAATGGGACAACAAAAACTTAACATAACAAGAAACTGGTTCGTGAATACAAATGTAGGCACTGGTACAACATTAGAAACAACAAAATGAAGGCTAATCTTTTTTTTTTTTTTTTTTAAGGGATAAAGATGAGTCTTTGAGTAAATGTTAAAACATTCTTACGTATCCCCTTTCCAAAGCGTCAAAGCAACCTTGAATCCTGTCAAGAAATAAATGTTTGATGTCAATTTGGACTAGATGCAAAGCCAAAAAAATTCCAAGTACAGAACTGATTTATATTTTCTGCTTTGAAGTACATTAAATTGACAATCATTTGTTTACATTTCCCATTTTATAAATTTTTTAAACTCCCAATACCTTTTACTATGTTAATAGAACTTTATAAATAAAAGGTAAGCGATTTTAGGGTACAGAATTACATCTTATTTTTCATGTTGGTTTCCATACTGTTTAGGACACTGGCATGCCTATCCTGAGTAATCAAGTATTGATTGATCTTTTTCTTCATACAAGTCTATTTACTTCAAAAATAACACTAAGATAGTATCTTAAAATTACATGGAATAATTATTACAAATTTGTAGAAAATTATTTTTAAAAGGCAGAAAGAAATTGTTTTAAAGAAGTGTAACCACCACCACAACAAAGAGACATTTAGTTTCACTTAACGCAGCATAAACACAGACTGAGACAGACACTATGAAACAGTTACAACCGAGGGCTCCAAGTCAGACTACCCTGAATGTTAATCCCCAGGTCTGCCATCTGCTACTTATGTGATGTTCAGCAATTGAATCTCAGGAAGTCTGTTTCCTCATCTATGATATGGAAATTGTACAATATCTCATCAGAGTTAAGATGCACATTCTTTCATATTTTATCATCTCTGATATCAGGATGCATCTTAAAACTGGTGGTGTGTCTTGGTTTCGTTAGCAACATTTTTTTTCTTTTTTACTGGTACATAAATTGTGTAATTTATAAACAACAGCATTTGCTATTCAACTACATAATTAATATGTACCTCATAAAGTTGTTTTGAGATATAAATGAAATCATGATGTAAAATCTCATGCCCTAGAATTTGGCCCTCTGAAGACTCTCAGTAAGTAACACCCATGAGTGTTGTACAGTATGATTTCTGTAAATGCTGGCCTTTTCCTGTCTTTTTGTCATAATTTTTGTTTGCCAAAACTAGAAGTTAATTTATTTGCAAAATCGTTGTTGTTAGAACCATCTGCCTACCCAGTTGTTCATCAAATTTCCTCTAATATTTCTGGTAGCAAGATATTGACCCTAAGGGTTTAAATCTAAAATGTGAAATGTGGTCAAAATAAAGTTTGTGAACGTCTTAAAAAAAGAAAGAAATTATGTTAACAAATAAAGTCTTGTGGGTAATTTCAGCCATGATAAAAATAATATTCAACTTTTGCAAAATTTCAATTACTTACCATTTAATAATAAGCTCAGACCCAGGAGAGCTTTTATCTTCTCGGAGGATTTTTAAATTGAGGTCTAGAAAAACAGAAACACAGTCTATTTTCATCTACTAAATGACTGTTGTACTAAAATTGTCCATTCTAAATAAAGGTATTTCCTTTATTTTATTTATAAAACTAAGTTTTATAGCTTATAAAAATATTTGGAATCTCTACTAGTAAATAACTAAAAATAAATCCTATGTTGATAATTAGCTTAGTTCTGATTTTTATTCTAGTTTAGTAGTCTACACTTACACAATATAGTGAAAGGACCCGAATATTCCATCCCAAATGTGCCACTTTAGCAAGTAGATTATTTGAAGCTAATGGCAATCCAGACCGAGCTGACTCCCCTGGTTGGTGTGGCTTAGTGGTTGAGCATCGACCTATGAACCAGGAGGTCATGATTGGATTCCTGGTCAGGGCACGTACCCAGATTATGGACTCAGTCCCCAATAGGGGGTGTGCAATCAATGATTCTCTCTCATTACTGATGTTTCTATCTCTCCCTCTCCCTTTCTCTCTGAAATCAATTAAAAAAAAAAAAAAAAGACACACCAGTAAAAAAATAGAAGACCCAGATGACCCCAGGTAAACCTTTACCTTTCCATTAACTGATTAAAAGAATTTCGATAGGGGACTTGGCCCAGAAAAGAGCTATTACCAGAGATAACTTTTATCTGATAGACTTCCTAATTTGCATTAACAGTGATAACATCTGATTACCAAGCTCGGCTCCTCTTATCTTCCTGTGAACCGCCCTCCTTCTCTTTGAAACTCCCTGGCCCTCATCCCATTGCTTAGCTCAGAATGGCATTTACATCCTAATTCCCTGCCTTTGCTGTCATATTTGTATGGGCTCCTGTAGATACAGAATTAAATTTGTTTTTCTTGTGTCAATCTTATGTCAGATTAATTACTAGACAAGTCAAGGAATCTAGAAGTGTAGAAGAAAAAAATGTTCGTTCCCAACAGGAGCACAAATGAACTGGTTGCAAAACCGATTTGTGTCACTTATAGGAACTATTAGTTCTTGGCCAGATAACAAATGACAGACTGAGGAAAAAAGAAATCTATATGGACAAGCCCAATAAATCTAAACTAGACCTAAGTAAAACCACTAAACATAGTCAAATTAAAATGGAAAATTAATTAGCAAATTGTTCCTATGCCTTGGACTCAGCACACTGTGAGAAATTAAAGGTTTACTCCTGCCAAATAGAGAAAAGGGACATAATAGCCAAAGTAACCATTGAGTTCAACTTTACCTTCCAAATGGCGGTCTCCATAAGAGCTTTCTGGAAACAGGCCCCTTAAATATGTTATACATGAGATACAAGTAGCAAAAAGTTTCTTCACTGTTGCCAAGGACTCTTCCTGATCACTAATTTGGGATGGGAAAATTGGTCCCTGGAAAAAAATGATGAAAAAGTTTAGTATTCCCCTGGCCTGTGTGCTCAGTGGTTAAACATTGGCCCGAGCACCCCACCCCAGTCCCACCTGCCCCCTCTAGAGCTGTCTGCCTGCTCTCTATCTAGGAGGCTGTCTCTATTTTGCTTGGTAATTCAGTTTGTTCATTAAATTCCACATGAGTACACTCATATGGTATATGTCTTTCTCTGACTTATTTCCCTTAGCTATCATTTTTTAAAATATATTTTATTGATTTTTTACAGAGAGGAAGGGAGATGGATAGAGAGTTAGAATCGAACCTGGGACTTTTCAGTACGCAGGCCGACGTTCCATTCACTGAGCCAAACCAGTTTCGGCTTAGCTATCATTTTTATAATGCCTAGTACATGAAAATACTGTAAAACAACACTGTTATCGATTATTTTAATAAGATAGTGTGCTAATGACACGTAATGTTTTACAGCTTAGCTGTCAAGTTACATGACCTAAGTTACTTTATTTCTCTGAGCTTCAGTTTCTTCCTTATTGCAAAGTTTAATTGAAATAATAATATACTAGTAAGTCCCTTGGCACAGTGCCTGGCATGTGGTAAGTGGTGAATAAACGTTAGTTTCTATAGTTATTATTATTGTCTAAAATATTAAATAGCAAAATCACTCAAAACTCACTGGGAGAAATAGCTCATGTAGTCCAAACTACAAAGATCTGCTTATATCAAAGGGCCAATTTGTTAATACTCAGCAAGAAAAATAACTGCCAAGCTGACTGCAGTTCATATATATGGCTCAGCATCTTGGCCCCAGGAAGGAAGCACACTTAGAAAACTAAATGAGATCAGCAGCTTGGTAAGAATATTGAATTCAAGCAAGAAAGATGGCTGCCTGCTCTCTGCCACAGTTCCCCTTCAACTTCAATATTTCTGCTACAGCTTAATATTCCTGAAACAATTATTTTACTCCCTCTCTTGATCAAACCCACTGGCTTCCTACTGGTTGCAGAATAAAGTATAAGTTCCTTAGCCTTAAGATCCTTATTATTTTAACCTCAGAGTTCCCGTTCAACTTTATTTACTATTTCTGTCCAACAGGACGACACTCTGATTCAGTAAGGATGGTTCTTTGTTATTCTCTGAAACATGCCACGCTCATTTCTTTATTCTGGGGCAAAGCATAGGATAGGCTTCCCTCGTGGAATTCTCTTTCCTCTCCTCTATTAAAATAACTTTCATCATTCAAGATTCATACAAACTACTCCAGGCTATATAAAATCTTATCATTTGTATTGCCTTACTCTCTTTTGCATATATTACTTTGTATATTGACTTAACTCCTGGAAATCTTAATTTAACCAGATAATAAACTTCAAGAAGATGAAGAGTCTTTCTTTTTTAAATCCTCACCTGAAGATATGCTTTTATTGATTTTTTTTTAAAGAGGAAGAGAGAAACATTGATGCGGGCTCCTATACTGGCCCCCACTGGGAATCAAACCTGCAACCTAGGTATATGCCCTGACCGGGAATCGAACCTGCAATCTTTTGGTGCACAGGGCAATGCTCCAACCAGCTGAGCCACCCGGTCAGGGTGAAGTGTGTTATTTATTTATTCATTCAGAGGATAATACACTATTGCATATATATTATATGGTAGTGGGCTCTCAATGAATACATAAATGGTTCATTAATGAATGCCATGGGACAAGATAAACTTGCCAAAATAAACCAGCAAGTCTGCCTAGCCCTGGCATGCCCCCCATGCGTCCCAGCATACAAGTTTTTCTCATTGTTCTCTCCCTCAGTTCTTACAACAGCATCATGTTATACTTCAGAAGTTTCGTGAGTGTTTAACAAGGAACCATTCTCTTTAAACATCTTTTTTTCTGATTTCTTTTATCCTAGAAAATCTAAGTATATAAAAACGAAACAATACCCAGGAAGTTATTTTGTGGGAGTCTATTCTAATTTTCTGAACATCCTCAGTCCATTAGGCAGTTAACATGTAGACATACTCTGCCAGAAATTCTGTGCCAATTCACTGATAAAACTGCTGTTAAAAAAAAAATGCCAAAGATTGAAGTCATCATTCTGAACTGACTACATAGTCATCGATTTTCTTTTAATCCCATTTTTAATGAAATAGAGTTTATTAGTGAAGCAGTGAGATGGAAAATGGGCTATTGCAGAGACAGAGCAGCCATAATTCTTACTAAATACCTTATATGCCTTGCGAATTCTGATGGGGTGAGAGAGCTGAGCAATGGCCATTATAGTAACGTATCAGGATTCTTTTAAGTCTAACCTGCAAAAAAAAAAAAAGAAAGAAAGAAAAGAAAAAAGAACCAATTAGAGACCTTGCCCAACATAATGCTTATTGTGAATTTTCCAAAGAAATATAATAAAATTAGCATTTGACTATATTGTTTGGGAAATTAGTTGAATAAACATTTTGATCTCCATAAACCATTTTTTTTTAATTTGGCATAAAGTCTCTGGATCAGTTTTTCCAACCACCCAATGAAAATGTAAGTTGACTTACTTGTTCCCAAATACATTTGGAGGAGAAAAATATTGTAAATCACCTAATGAGTCCTAACTGGTTTGCCTCAATGGTTAGAGCATCGGGCTACGGACCTAGGAGTCCCGGGATTGGTTCCAGTCAAGGGCACATACTTCGATTACAGGCTCAATCCCCGGGCCTGGTCCGGGCCCATGTGGAAGGCAACCAATTAATGTGTCTCTCTCATATCGATGTTTCTGTGTCTCTCCTCCTCCCTTCCACTCTCTCTAAAAATCGGTGGGAAAATGTCCTCTGGTGAGGATTGACCCCTCACCAATAATATATTTTTTTCATCCTATTATTCCCTCAAAGTGTAACAGTGCTTTGTATATATCAGCACCTCAAAATAATTTCTTGAACTTCGGGTGTAATTGATTTTCAAAGCCAATTCAAAATTTAATGTTTATACTTCACACCCATTAGGTTGGCTATTCCAAAAAAAAAAAAAAAAAAAAAAAAGGAAAATAACAAGAATTGGTGAGGATGTAGAAAAATTAAAACCACTGCTGACTGGAATACAAAATGGTGCAGCTGCTATGGAAACAGTATGGCAGTTCCTCAAAAAGTTAAATAATCACCATATTATCCAGCAAATCTAAGTATATACTCAAAATAAATGAAAGCAGGGATTCAAACAGATACTTGCACACCAATGTTCATAGCAGCATTGTTTACAATAGCCAAAAGATGGGACTATCCATCAGCAGTTGGATTTTTTAAAATGTGATATATATATATATAATGGAAAACTATTCAGTCTTAAAAAGGAATGAAATTCTGATACATCCTGCAACATGGATAATATTACGCTAAGTGAAATAAGTCAGACCCAAAAGGAAAAATATTGCATGATTCCACTTATATGAGGAAGGTAGTCAAATTCATAGACAGTAGCATAGAGGTTAGCAGAGGTTGGCGGGTAGAAAGAATGGAAAGTTTAATGGGTATAGAGTTTCTGTTCAGGGTACGAAAATTTTCAAGAAACAGAGAGTGGTGATGGTTGTCTAACTCTGTGATGAGCTTGGTGCCACTGAATTGTACACTTGAGAATGACTGAGGTGATGAATTTTGCTATGTACGTTTTATCACAATAAAAACCATTGTTTCAAATACCTCCAGGCACTCTGCCTCCCCGGAGCATGCCCACACCCATGCATGCGTCCCCCAGAGGCCCGCATCTCCTAAACTCTAAGGGACCCAAGAGACTGGCAACCAGGGCAGCCATGGGCAGCCAAGGCCCAGCCCAGGCTCACCCCAAACCTACCTCCGAGGCCCCCTTTTCCGTGACTTCTCAGCCAAAACAGCCCTGCCTAGGCACCCTCCTGTTGCTTCTTCCTTCTTAAGCCCTTCCTTAGGAAAAAAACAAACAAACAGGTTTTCTTTCCATTGCTTCACTCCATTAAAAAAAAAAAAAAAAAAAAAGGAAGTAAATTTCCCCTTTTCAAAGGCTTTAATCTAAACTGTGGCTTCTTGTCAAGGTTTTATCCAGTTCTAACCAAAATATTTATAAAATAGTCCGTTAAAAGAAATTCCATTCTGGATCACCCTGTGACCTGCTTTTGTGTACAGATTCATGCAAGATTCTGGAAGATTTTGCAAATAAAAGAGGGCAGCATTATCTGAGGCCACCAGGTGGTGACAGAGATAATAAACAGGTCATGATTCCTCTCCAGTGACTTCTCCAGAGCAGCGCTAGGGGACGCTCTTTTCCAGTATTTTATGTGAGAATGAAAACCTTATGCTTCTTTGGTCCTTAAGGATGCCAAGGGACCTTTTGTTGACTTCAGGGTATAACTTCATTTCTGAGTGTAACCTTCAAGTCTGACACAACGTATCAACTGCTTCCCTTAATGACTGCAAGAAGTTAGGTGGCTCAGTTGGTTGGAACGCTGTCCCATGCACCAGAAGATTGTGGGTTTGAACCCCAGGCAGGCATGTATCAAAGGCAACTGATCAGTTTCTCTGCCCCCCCCCTCCCCCTTTCCGCTCTCAACATAAAAGGGCTCTACAACTGAAGAGACATCCTCTACAACAGTGTTTCCCAAACTTTTGGCCTATGTGTACCCCTTCTATAATTTTCGTAACGCTGAGTACCTCTCGTCCTCATGAAAACGTAGAATTAGGCGCAGCTAAGCACGGTGCAGTGCATATCCCCACCCAACTCGGGTGCAACGTGCGTACCCCCACCAAACTCTTCCCGTACCCCTGGGGGTACGTGTACCACACTTTGGGAAACACTGCTCTACAACTAATTCAGTCCCTTTTAAAGGGTAAAAAATCCAGTGGAGGAAGGGTAGTTTTTATAACCAACTAGAGGCCCGGTGCACGAAATTCATGCACTCAGGGTGGGTTGGGAGGGGGAGATGGGAAGGGTGCCTCAGCCCGGCCTGCGCCTTCTCCCAGTCTGGGAGCCCATGAGGGGTGTCCGACTGATGGCAGCTGGACATCCCGCTAAGCTGGCCTGGCTTCTGGCTGAGCCCATCCCTCTGCGTGAGCGTCTGCCCCCTGGTGGTCATTCTGCCATGGGGTCGATTTGCATATTAGCCTTTTATATATATATATATATATATATATATATATATATATATATATATATATATATGAGGATGGTGTTGGTGCAGTAGGAAATCCATAAGGCATGGGGGAGGGGGTGGATTTTAGGTGAGAAACTCAACTTAAATCTCACACCACATACAAATACTAATTCAAAATGGGTCACGCATTTAAACTCAAAATATAAAACCATAAAGAAGAGGAAAGCAAACTCCAGCAAGAGGACTTGGATTGCCAAAGGTCATCCGGGGACTCCAAGGATTCCCCCAAGTCTGTTTTCATAAATTACTACCCCTCTCCCCCTTGTCACACACCCCATGTGGCCCCGCTAACTCCCCTGCTCCAGGCTCACTCAGAGGAAACGGTTCCCAATCTATTAGATGGGTCTTATTCCTGCTCTCTGGTGTGTGTGTGTGTGTGTGTGTGTGTGTGTGTTTTAATATCTTCTTCACGATGCGTTAATTATTCATTCATTCAGCACTTTTACTGGGCTGGCTACAATGTGCTAAGTTTCCCCTTGGGATTACAAAAATGGGGAAAAGACTGTTCACACATCTCAAAAGATTTATGCCTCCTTGGGGGGAGAAATGAGATGATGGCCCTAATTAGATTAAGCCCTCTTTGAAGAGCAAGAACCATATTTCTTTTTTCTTCTTTTTCTTTTTTTTTTTCTTTTTCCATTTTCACCAGCCAAGGACACGATGTCCCGCACGCCCCGTCCAGGGCCGCGCCCACGTTTTTCTGGCGATTGGCTAACCCTGCGTTTCAAGACACGCTCCCCCCTGTGCTGTTTGGGGAACTAAAGTCCACGGAGATTAACCGGCACGTCCCGGGCAAAAGCGAAAGGAGAGCTGAGGTCACCGGTCCCCACACCCCTGGGCCTGCGCTGGGCATCGATTCTGGCAGGAAACCTCCATGGCGGCGGGAGACACACCGGGCCGCGCTCACGTCCTTCTCGAAGGTTCCACACCCGACAGACCCGACTCCCTGCAGGACGCAGAGTCCCGGCCGCCTGAGCCAACTTCCTCTCCAAAGACGGATTCCTTCTCTTCCCCCCTCGAAAGCTCCACGGAAAAGCTACCTAAGATGGTGGGCGATGCGGGGTTCCCGGTGGAAGGTTCCCCACGTCCCCGCCTCCCCTGGGAAACGGGGTGCGTGTTACCTAGAAGCTTCCCCCCGGGGGCGTCTCCTCACAGTATTCGGCGCCCCAGCGATATACGTTCACATCGAAACTCTCCCGTGAGAAGAGAAGGAAAAGCTCACAGAGACTTAGAAAGCGAACAGTCCCTCAACGGCCCTCTCTCTCCGCGGGCCTCGCGCCCGCCTCTCCCCGCCGACGGGGCCGCAACGGCCTTTTCCGGTTCCAACCCGCCCCTCGAGCTCATGGATAACCAATCAGGTCCCCTCGGGGGCGGGGCGAGAACCACTTCATGAATAATTCATCACTCTCGGCGTACGCCGGCGTCCGGCCTCTCTCCCCTGCTTCATGAATATGCAAATAAGAGCCGAGCGGCGTCCAATAGGCCGCTGGCAGGCCCGGCCCCCTCCACGCGCGGCCCGTGTTCCCGGCCGGACACCTGTTGACAGTTTCCCAGCCCGCACGTCGCGGGCCGGGCGTCCCGCTTCCGGCGGTGGCCGCGCTGCCGAAGCCCGGCCCGCGCCCCGGGGCCTGGGGGACCCGCGTCGAGCACCGTTCGCCGCGGGAACCCGGGGGTGCGGGGCTACACAGGACCCAAGGGCGCCTTCGACTTGGGGAACCGGTGCCTCGAGGACAGCCTGCCTGCCTGCCGCGGGGCTTCCTGGGGAGACGCCTTCCTCCCCCACCCCACCCCCCACAGGTGAGGCGGCAGCGGGGAGGGTTTGGGGGCCCGGGAGGGGTTTGGGGGCCGGGAGGGGTCTGGGTTAGAGGCCCTGAGGGCTCCTGGGGCCCGGGGTCCGAGGCCCGGGGTACCAGAGAGACCTGAGGCCCTCGCCGGGCAGCGGGGGTGTTCGGGGGGGGAGAAGGGGGCGCTAGAGCCTGGGGGGCCCCGGCCCGCGCGGAAGGGGGATGGAGAGGTCCGGACCGCAGAACTTTCAACCCTCGATGGCATCTCCGCTTCTTTCCTATGCACAGACCCAACATGGCATTGTCTTCAACATGAGTTTGTAATTATGCAAATCAGACGCGCACACGTTCTCCCTGCCCTGCCCCTGCCTAACCGGGTCCCTGACGCAGGGGGCCCCGGGCAGCGGCTCCCCGCCCCGGAGCCCTGGCCCCGGGCTGAGGTCACACTGAGGCCCGCCCCGTGGAGCTTTGCTCAGGCGCGTGCGGCCCCCAGAGCCGCTGCCACGGGGTCTCCTAGGGAGTGGATGAGGCCGTGGGCCACGGGAAGTCTGTTTTTCACTTTGTTTCTGAAAGTAAGGGAGCGGGGAGGGGGAGGAATTCAAGTTGGCGAAAACACGAGTTGATAACATAATGACTAACATCAAAGGTTGGGGTGTGATAGTCCTTTAGAGCAAGGTTCCTCCGCCTCAGCAGTAAGACACCCGCCTTCCCAGGCCAAAACGTCTCCAGACGTTGTCAGACGTCGCCGGGAGGGGAGTGGGGCAGGGAACAAAATCGCCCTTAGTTAGGAACTGCTACTATAATCCTGTACTTTCAGAATTAACTGTTCACTAAGCTCCAGCCACACAGATGGTCCCCCCCCCCCTCCCTCCCTCCCCCCCCTCTCTCTCCCTCCCTCCCTCCCTCCCTCCCTCTCTCTCTCTCCCTCCCCCCCCCTCTCCCTCCCTCCCTCCCTCCTTCCCTCCCTCCCTCCCTCCCTCTCTCTCTCTCTCTCTCTCTCCCCCCCCCCCCCCTTCTCTCCTCCAGGCCTTTCCAACTTCCGCTTTTGCCAGCTCCCTTCTGGCTAAATCGTTAGCCCTGCATGCTGGCTGCTTGGTTCTCCTCTGCCTGTGGGTCTCAGCTCAGTCAACTACCCTGGTCTCCAAAGAGCCTTCCCCTCCGGCCTATGCTAAGGACATAAAGGCACCACTCCCACCCCTAACAGTTATTCTAATATTTCCTTCATAGAACTTAGCACAATCTGGGTTTTCTATTTTATTTATTTGTTAGCCTGTGGTGTGTGTGTGTGTGTGTGTGTGTGTGTTGTGTGTTTTTCTCCTCCACCTCCTAGTACAGTGGTCGGCAAACTCAGTCCACAGAGCCAAATAGCAACAGGACAACGATTGACATTTCTTTGGAGAGCCACATTTTTTAAACTTAAATTTCTTCTAACGCCACTTCTTCAAAATAGACTCTTCCAGGCCGTGGTATTTTGTGGAAGAGCCACACTCAAGAGGCCAAAGAGCTGCAGTTTGCTGACCACAATCCTAGTATATAAGCAAGCTTCATTTAGAGGCCTGGTCTGTCGGGGTCACCCCGGTCCCCGGCACAGCGCCTGGCACGGTGCTGGACTGAAATAGCACGCTACCTTCTCTCCCCCTAAGGGCTGTGGAGTTCCTCTTCCTCTCTGTCTTCAGTGCCTGCCTCTTCCTTATAACCTGGGATGAATGAGCCCCCGTCTTAGAGCTGATTTAGGAACTCCTTGAGGTTACTGCCCTTTCTGATGTTCATCGAAGGTATTCAAATAGCTAGGCGAATGAACTCGCCTAAGCCAAGACTTAAGGAATAAATGTTAGGCAATTAAAAACGGACAGTGCTACAGGGCGGTTTAGAAATCACCAAAATCTAGTCTCTTACTTTACAGATTAGAGTTTAAGTCATTTGCTCAGGGTCCCTAAGCTTGTTCAGAGACACCAAGTCACAATACAACCCATGGTTTCACACCTCTCCTTTCAAGTCTCTTTCTTATCTCCAGCCAGTCAATTTCTGATACTTTTCTGCGAAGCTGATTAGCACTCACTCAAACACGGAAATCTCAAGCCAAAGACTTGCTTCATGTCTCCTAAAAGCGCTTGAGCTCCTATTTTCCTTTTTTTTTTTTTTTTTTTTTTTTTAACCCTGCTCATTGATTTTTTAAGAGAAACATCCATGTGAGACAGAAACATCGATTGGTTGCCTCCTGCATGACCTGGGCCAGGCATCGGAACCCACAACCTGGGTTCACTGGGAATGGAACTCGTAACCTTTCAGTGTACAGACAACGCTCCAACCCACTGAGCCACACCGGCCAGGGCTGTACTTTCATCTATGATTACATACAGACCTAGGATCGTAGCCTAATGAACTCAGGTGCCATATGATATTCAGCTTCTTTTGTACCTTTCAGGGATAGGAGACTGGGTATTTTCCCTGTCAAAGCAAAGTTTCTTATTTGTTTTGGAAAGAAAAAATGTGCATCGTGGTAGAAATTGATCATTGTTTAGAAATTTCCAAATAACCAGCTGTTAACGTTTTGCCAAACCCTGTGAAATGTGAAACAGGTGAAAATGGAGGGGAAGGTACCTTTCTGAGAGGACTTCCTTTGCCGAAAGCTAACCTTTCTCTCTCTAGACATGTTTCATTCTACTCTGTGTACCTGAACAGGTGGCACTCCTCATTAATCAGTCTCCAGTTAGACCTTGGTTTTGAGAATTAATGACATTTTTCCTTCTCAGTTAAAGAAATTCGGGTTCCTTCTTTCCTCTTCTTGATCATTCTAAATAGGCAGCACATGCCGAAACCAGTTGGGCTCAGTGGATAGAGCATCGGTTTGCGGACTGGAGGGTCCCAGGTTCAATTCCAGTCAAGGACATGTACATTGCTTGAGGGCACATTCCTGGTGGGGGGTGTGCAGGAGGTGGCTGGTCCATGTTTCTCTCTCGTCGATGTTTCTAGCTCTCTATCTCTCTCCCTTCCTCTCTGTAAAAAATCAATGAAAATATATTTAAAATAAATAAATAGGCAGCACATTGTTAGTAGAGTCTTGTGGAGTGATGCTGTCAGCTTTCAGAATCTTGGAGTTGCTTTAGGGGAATCTGACAGCACACCGTGCTTGTCATGGGAAAGAGATACCATTTGTCTGACTGACTGAAACTCTCGATATCAGGTTCGGTTTAACCTTGGAAATCTCCTCCAAAAGATGCTTTTCTTGAGGGTTATCAAAATAGACATTGACATAAAGTATACTCCCAGGAGGACATCTCTAGATGTACATCTCTCTGCAGTGTGTGCAACGATAGCAAACAGAGAAAAGAGATTCGAGTGGACGGAGCAGCTAAGTAGCAAGTGTGGTTCCTTTATCCTGTTCGCATTCAACTTTCATCAGAACGCTGAAATCATCGTAACTCCCCATCATCGTAAAGCTGACAGCGCCATATTTATTCACTCATCAAGCGTTTATTCTGCTTGGCACTGAGGACCGGCGAGATAATGATGGGTCCCCAAGCTGTGAAAGTTTACAGTTTAATGAGAGAGAAACACTGTAAACACATTACTCACATAGAAAACAGTCAGCAAATATTAATGCAGACATAAATGATCTGATAGAGTGAGGAGAAGGACGCTGTCCATTCTGATTAGGGAATCAAGACAACTTCACCGAGGAGCTGGCATGTTAGGAGGACAGCGCGTGCATATAATTTCCTTTGCTCATTCTTTGGCAATGGTTAGACTGCGTCAAACGAATAGCGTTTGCCCAGGAAATGTTAAAACTAGGAAAGAAAGGTATAAGATGCTTTTGACTTCTGGAAGCAAATGCTTCTGAAAGCTAAACATTGCGTTTGCAGTTCCAAGTGGCTCAGTCATGGTTAATGGAATTCCCTTCCATCTTTGACTTCTTCCTCACTAAGGTTAAGTCAAATGTGGCTCTCATGCCGGCTGTATTATTTCAAGCCTCCTCGTTTCTGCATTAGGGTATTTTATCCTGATCTCCATGGGGCAGGCAGTAACCTATTGTGTTTTTTTAGGGGGTGGGTGTCAGTAATGTTTATAAATGTGTTTATGAGTGTGACTGTGGTCCTAAAATCTTCAGTGTTACTGAGAAGGAAAGAGTGGCTAAATGGTTTTGATAACTAAGTTTTAAATCAAGCCTCTATGTGTAAACTGTTACACTGCCTAACTTACTTAGGGTATTTTTTTTTTTTTTTTAAGAGAAAGGAAAAGATAAAGGATTGCCAGTTTGGCTTTAGCTTCTGAATTTGATCCATTCTTTGGCCGCCAAAGAGAAGCCAATCGATATAAGCCCCGACTATAAGGTCTAAATCTGAGCTCCTACTGCTTTGCCTACTCAACTGTCAACCTACAAAACAGCTCCACGTGTAGGTGGCAATTTATTAGGACCTCATGGCCACTCGAGGGTTGCATATCAATTTCTGCATCCTTCAAATTGATCTTTGCTGGCAGCCAAAGAATCTCCATGTGGGTCATGTGTTTCTGGGAAAGCCTGGGGTGTAATGAATTGGAACAAGAAATGACAGGGATGCAAGTGTCAGGCCTGCATGAGCGCCCTGACGAAGAAATGATGTCAGGGACATTATTGAGTTCTCAAGCATTAAAGCAATGCTCTGTTTGTCTACTTGCTTCTGTTTTTTGCCAACTAGGAAGTTTTGGTGACATGTAAAATGATGTTCTTTCTCTTAATGTT